AATACGTATAACCAATGGGCTAATCAGAAGACGTTATAGCCTGTCCGCTCCCATGAGAGCCCTTAGCAGTCGAACTAGAACCAAACACGTGTGTTCTGTGATCCTCTGCTCAACAGAAGTTCTATACGATCTCGACTACTGCTAATCTTCATCACAGCAATTGAAAAATGGAGGGATTATACTGCCCACAGCGGGGCCTACGACATCAGCTCTATTTATTATAATACTGGCATGCAACATGAACTCTTATGAGTTTACATAACTCGCTTCTTCTTGTGATACGGGGCCTTAGCCGTAAGACTCTGGTGAATATATGGCACGACTCCACCTGACAAGAACAATGGACAAGTGAGAGCAACACCATCGTTACCTCCAGCGATTGTAGCACGGATGAGGACGTCGAGCTCATCATCACCTCTGATGGCTAGGTGTAGGTGTCGTGGAGTTATACGTTTAACCTGCGGTAGTCATCGCCCCTCGACTCTAACATGGACTGGGCTCACCTTCTGGTCTTTAGCAGCGTTTCCAGCGAGCTCAAGGACCTCAGCCGTGAGGTACTCCAATATAGCTGCAGTGTAAACAGCAGCAGTCGAGCCAACTCTGCAGTTGGCAGTAGCACGATCCTTGAGATAACGTCGGACCCTCCCCACAGGGAATTGGAGACCAGCTCTGGCCGATCTGGTCATAGACGTGCCCTTACCACCAATCTTTCCCTTACCACCGTGAACCTTCAGGAGTAGGTTGAATCAGAGAGAGATGCAAGACTGACCCTACCTTGGCCCCTTTACCGCCCTTGCCACCTTTACCACCCTGTAGACCGGCCCCTTTGATGCCCTTCCCACCAGCTAAACAGAATAAGGACGATGACGGAGTTGAGAGGGAAGCGACGTCTAGCAGCCTACCTAGCTGGGTCACCACTGGCACGGACTTGTTGATATCAGTCTTCTTGAGATCAGACATAATGAGAGCTTACGCGGGATAATGTACTGAAGCCATCGAATCCACATCGGAACATGCTTCTGCGGCGTCCAACATGGACGACTTGAGATTTTCTCAACGGTCGCACGCCTCTACACTAAGCTGGGCTGTATGGTACGGCTGGGGGGGGGGGCGCGGATCAGCGACCAGTGAAGGATTCGGCACTCCACTCCAGTGGAGAGAGAGAGTTATCCCTCAACAATAAAACCGCAATGGCGAGATAAGAATCTTGCACTCTTACGATTTCTTCATACGACAAAATTGAGCTTGCGAGTCTTGTGCAAGATTTGAAGTGAGCATGATTTTCGCGCTCGCCCGAAACAAGAAATGGTCTGGTGAAAATTGGGGTCATGTAGTGGTTGCCTTTATAAATGAGTCCAACCTGTCGTCTGAGGGACGAGTTATGACCCTTTCAACCTACTACGACAGACACTGAGTTACAGTTCGCTAGCCTCGATGGGTCTCGAGTCATACGGCAAGGTGACATGAGCAGGAAGGTTTAACAGAGGAACGTCAAACCTCATCTTGGAACCCGTCGCCGGCCAAGTCGAGGACTGTGAGATAATAGAGAACAGCCAACTCTTTCACGAGAGCTGGGTATGGATGCAAATTGTCGATAGAGTCAGCCACCACCAGGGAAGAACTACAGTCCAGCAGCCCGAGCAGCCTTCGTTGTTGGTCGCTTCCCTGATGGAAACTGCGCCACAAACACGTAGTGGTCGTCTCTTACTCGAGGAGTGATCGTAGTAGTAGATCTCAGAGCTCTACAAATACAGGGAGTTCCCCCGAGACATCGGGTTTGCAATCAGGAGACCTATACACATGACCTCAACTACGTTGAAGAAGATCTAGCTCTTGAAGACGCATGAATGCTTCCATTGCTGGCCACGTGGAGGAGGTAGCATACGCCAAATCTTGACAATAGTGCTAGAGGAATATATTTTCGTTTTACTCAGCCTAGGAGTTCCTCATCAATTATAGAAGTCCACACAAGACTTGGGATCGCAGTGTACAGAAACTAATAAGAAATTCCCGAAATTCTCCCGGAGTCTTCATATTGTCACCAACACATGTAGTTGACCATGCGCGTACACACTGCTCTCCAGCAAGGGGGATAATCAAGCGCTCTCGTCGTGAGGCATCCATAAGGAGGTATCCCAACCGTGCTGACCTTGTCATCATGGCCAGTGGGAATTCTCATAGACCATGTTGATGACTACCCTACGATAAACTAGGCTAGTCACCGACCCGTCGATCACCTGACTTAAACTCAACCATTGATAAGAGTAATACGACGCTTGAATAACAATTAACCGATATATATTGCAAAGACGACTACAATACAAGACTACTGACATCAGCAGTATTACACTGATCATCTCTCCAGAACAGGATACACCATTAGAGTAGGAGTAACACTCCCGGTAGGCCCATTTACGGTCATCACTTCAAAACGTCCAACACGATGTGTAGCGGGAAGATCGATACCAGCATCAGTAGAGGCGTTAGATGAACCAAGGAATTCCTCAATAACAAAGCGTCCAACCTTCCTAACCACTTTCCTCGGTAAGAGCGCGTCAACAACGACACTTTTTGTGGGGACAGGTGACAGCGACGGATCGCAATTGGCGTGGGTTACAGCCAGCTGATCAGCGTTCTGGTGTAGCTGACCGTCTCTATCCACCAACTCTAGTGTGAATCGTCCTCTTCTCGAGCAGCAGCTAGTTGACGGAGTATCACTTTCACCTTCTTCCCTTCCCCTCTGGTCCGAACCGCTGCCTGTATTCGTCTGGTTGTTATCAGAGGGGACAATCGACACTGTAGAAGTGAGTTCGGGGACACACTTCATCAACGTGCTTGAGGACTCCGATGAACCGTCTATCTCCGAGAAGAGGAAAGTCAAATCGAACAAAACTGAGAATACCATTTTGTCTAAGCAACCTCCCGTCAACAACTCAACAGACCCCACGCACTGCGAGTTTAAGGAGTGACCACTACTACCCCATCTGGAGAACAACGCTAGAAACAACAGAGTCGCTTCACTACTAGGGCGGAGGGTCCACAGCAATTGATAGCAATAATGTTACTCAGGATGGACTGATATAAAACTGCGAGCTGGTACTTGTTCATGCTCGAGAGCGGAAAGCCCGGAAGTCATCAAGAGCCTTGAGGACCTGTCACCAGAGTTGTACTATCCCATCTGGAGGTCTATATATCACCTCTGAATTCAAGGAGATCGCTGTGTCCATCATTTCACCTGGCTCGAGCAGCTCTATCCACAACTGCAGCTGAATCGAATACCGGTCCATATTACCTATTGACGAATCTCGTAGTCATCAGCAGCACCATGAGATGATCATATTGCATTAACCGGGAATACACATGTATACAATCATACACTATCAGAATACCCTCCCCCGTTGCTGGAGACGATATTTCCATCCCCTTCCTCACCAGCAAGGGAAATGAGAGCTTCATTCGTCGACACATCAGGTGAGCTCTCTCGCTTGGCTTTGTCAAAACACTCGTCCCACAGCTCTAGCGTTTGCTGGACCTGGCCGACACTAGGAAGTGTTTCTATGCTTAGAAGCTACTTCTGGTATAAAGGTCTCTGGATCCTGGCCCTCGGCATCCTGCTCGTATGTTAGGTCCATGAGGTTCTGATTCGGCGATTGATAGTCGCCAGTAGTGCCACTCTCAACAACTGTTGCCTTCACTGGAGTTGCTTCAACTAACAACAAGCAATGCGAATGTGAGGGGAAATATGCTCATGGTCAACTACATCTGTTGGTGACACTATGAAAATTGTGGGAAATTCTTATTGATTTCTCTACAGTTCTGTCCGAATTCGCATACAAACTCCTATAATGAGTGAGAAATCTCCTGAGCTCAGCCGAGGAGAGCCGTCAAATACTGGACAATACTGGTCTAACTCGAAACGAACAGCTGTTGTTGGTTACTACCAGCCCCTGGCATAGTATAGCCTTCGTCCTGTAGGCGTCTGTAAAACGATTGGAAATTGGGTAAAATATCAGCATCCCGCGCGAACCTGGAAGAGTTGTAAAGCCAGGCCGGCCAATACTAAACAGCCCACCTCGCAGCCCATTCACTAGCCAACCGCAAGATGGTTGATTTCACCTCAGGGTCGCAGTCTGGCCGCTGGAGGACCTAAGATGAATCTTGCCATTGAGCTCAAGGGATACTCTGCCACGCTCTTACCTTTGACAGACTAGTGAGGAACTCATTATCAGCCACATTGAGATGGAAGGTCACTTCAGTGTGCCGCATGAGGTCATCCAACAGCAGTAAGGCGGCCCATTGGATTCTACTAGATTCATGTGTTGTTATCCTCTTGCGGAGCTCAGCAATCACAGCACGACCTGGACAGCAGCAATACTCTCAACACAGTTACTGCTGCCCCCCTACCGCTGTCGTTGGACATGTCCACAGTATCGCTTATCTGGGATACGATAGAGGTAGAAGATGTCGGAGGTGCGGTACTAACACGGAAAACTCCCCAAGTGGTGATGATGATGAGAGGCCCTACGACTGACTTCGCTCGAGGGCTTCTTTAATGGCCTTGTCGACAAGCTCGGCTTCGTCTCTCTTACCGTTCTGTGCAGCAGCAGTAGCAGTTGGCATGGTTTTCGGCGGTACTAGGAATACCAAAAACGGCTGACTTCATACGAGAGTACGCCCAACTCGACAGAGAAAAACTGATTCAAAAATTGTCAAAACGGATGGTGGCCGAGGTCGCAACGAAACCGCAGCCGGCATCATCGAGGTGATGTTGTTCGAAATAGATGGATAACCCTATTTTGCAATGAGAGTAACCATGCAGATGATACGTAAAGGGCGTGAGGCTGTTCCCAGCCAATTGGGACCTCTGACCAGGTCGGTGGCCGAATCGGGGTCGCGCAGCAAAATAGAATCATATTACCGAGCACTACTACTCCTGAATCCACCAACCCGAGTACTACTACCACTCGTGGTGACCGCATCTCCACTCTTCTTATATGATGATGTTATCATCACTTCTAATTCGAGACGCTTGTTGGCTCCAGTGGGCAACCGAGCTGTTCAATGCGAAGGGACTTATAAAAGGAACAAATCTCAGGAGCAACATCGGCGAATACTGCCTATGATTAGAATTTGAAGAGAGTGTGGTATGCATATGCACTAGGAGGAGTCCTAGACGGACAACTGCTACTACTTTCAAAGCAGTCTAATACCGTTGAGGAAGTGTAAGACTTGCAAGATGCTTGTAACTCATTGAATAACCAGCCGACGAGGGCCACGACGACCTTAGGTGACGTTTGTCTCAGTTCGGGTTGCCCTACCATCACTTGGTGTAATGACACCCATCCCTGCGGAGAACACTACCGTTATGAGTGACCTTACTCTACGTAAGCATAGACACCCAGAGGCGGCGGCACTTCCTACATTGCATTCTTCAGCTACTCCCAATACCGAGGGGTATTCCTATGTGTACCCCACTGATGCTGGCGAGAACGACCTTGCTGAGCTCAACTGCAAGCCGGCTCGACTTGTACTGGAGGATGGCACTGAATTCGAGGGGTGATGGGCAAGTTGTGGTATACAGTGAAGTTAATGGAGTCTTTTAGATACTCGTTTGGTTATCATGGCTCTGTCGCTGGCGAGCTGGTCTTCAACACTGGTATGGTTGGTTACCCTGAGAGTCTGACTGACCCTAGTTATACTGGTCAGCTGCTTTGTATCACTTTCCCATTGGTTGGCAACTATGGTGTTCCTTCTGATGAGTTGGACCATCTTGGCCTCCCTCGTAATTTTGAGGGCAAGAGAGTCCACGTGAAAGCCCTGGTCATCAGTGACTATAGTTTTGCTAGTAGTCACTACACGGCTAGACGCACCTTATCTGAATGGCTCAGAAAAGAGAAGGTCCCTGGCATTTTCGGTGTTGACACTAGAGCGGTCACCAAGCACGTCAGATCGTGTGGTGCCATGTTGGCCAAGCTTGTCGTTACTAATGATGAGGGTAGCCCCTCTACCTGGCAGGACGTAGAATGGGATGACCCCAACGTCCGTGTCCTCCAAAGGGAAGTGTCGTGTACTGAGGTGAAGGTATACTACCCGGCAGGCCCGGGTGAAGAAGTGGAAGTTGGCAGTCCGGTGAAGTCAATCAGGCGTATTGGTGGTGGCCCTGACCCCGACAGACCTATTCATATCGTAGCAGTAGACTGTGGTATGAAATACAACATAATACGTTATTTCGTGGATGTTCTGAGAGTCCAACTGACAGTAGTTCCATGGGACTACGACTTCACCGAAATGGACTTTGACGGCCTCTTCCTCTCTAATGGGCCTGGTGATCCTACTATGTGCGAGGCTACTATAAAGCATGTACGTAAGATTATTGAGACTCCTCGAGAAAGGCCGATCCCGGTTTTTGGTATATGTCTGGGGAATCAGATATTGGCTCTGGCCGCTGGGGCTAAGACGTATAAGATGGTTTTTGGTAACCGTGGTATGAATCAACCTGTCATCGATCTCAGGACGGCTAAGTGTTATATTACTCCTCAAAATCACGGCTTTGCAGTTGACGCTGAGTCCCTGCCCGACAACTGGACCTCGCTGTTCGTGAATGCCAACGACGGCACCAATGAGGGAATCATTCATCGTTATCATCCGTGGTTTTCGGTACAGTTCCATCCGGAGGCCTGTGGGGGGCCTACGGACACCAGCTTTCTTTTCACGTACTTTATCAATGCGGTTGTTAATCCTACTGCATTACCTGTTACTACTGTACCGTATCGTCTGCCTAATCCGGTTAAGAAGGTCCTGGTCTTGGGCTCTGGCGGCCTGAGTATCGGCCAAGCTGGAGAGTTTGATTATTCGGGCTCGCAGTGTATTAAAGCCTTGAAGGAGTCCAACATTATGTCGGTCTTGATCAACCCTAACATTGCTACTGTGCAGACTAGTAAGGGCCTAGCTGATAAGGTCTACTTCTTACCTGTTACGCCAGAGTTTGTCACTAGTGTGATTGAGATTGAAAAACCGGATGGACTTTTCTGCACGTTTGGTGGGCAAACTGCGCTCAACTGTGCAGTGGCCCTGCACGATGCGGGGGTTCTCAAGAAACATAATGTGAGGGTATTGGGCACGCCTATATCTAGCATTGTTATGACCGAGGATCGAGAGCTCTTCTCGAAGGCAGTCGAAACGGTGGGGTACAAGGTAGCTGAGTCGGAGTCTTGTACTACGGTGGAGGAGGCTGTTGATGCTGCTGCTAAGTTGGGGTATCCGGTCCTGGTACGAGCGGCGTATGCACTGGGTGGTCTTGGATCTGGCTTTGCTGCTAATGAAATGGAACTACGCGACTTGTTGCCGATCAGTTTTGCGGCTTCTAAGCAGGTGATTGTCGATAAGAGTTTAAGAGGATGGAAAGAGGTGGAGTATGAAGTTGTTCGAGATAGTCAAGACAACTGTATTACGGTATGCAATATGGAGAACTTTGATCCTATGGGAATTCACACGGGAGATTCTATTGTTGTGGCCCCTTCACAGACACTATCTAATGCTGACTACTACCGCTTGAGAAAGTGTGCTATTCAGATGATACGACATATTGGTATTGTTGGGGAATGTAATATACAGTATGCGGTAGATCCTCACTCGGATCAGTTTCGAATTATCGAGGTTAACGCACGTCTGTCGCGGTCCTCAGCCTTGGCGTCTAAAGCTACTGGTTACCCTTTGGCGTATGTGGCGGCTAAGTTGGCGTTGGGGACAGATCTTGTGACACTACGTAACATGGTCACCAAGTCGACTACGGCGTGTTTCGAGCCTAGTCTTGATTACTGTGTGGTGAAAGTGCCAAGATGGGATTTGAAAAAGTTTGCTACTGTTGATCCTAGGGTGGGGTCGTGTATGAAAAGTGTTGGAGAGGTGATGGCTATTGGTCGGAAATTTGAGGAGACTATGCAGAAAGCTCTGAGGATGGTGGACGAGTCTTGTGAGGGGTTTACGGCGGAGCGCTATGATTTGGAGTTCGAGGCGAACCCTTTCCTTGGGGAATCTACTGATGGTGACACACTACGTCAAGAACTGTCACAACCGTCACCACTCAGAGTGTGGGCTATCGCTAAAGCCTTTGATATGGAGTATGGTGTGGAGGATCTTCATCGACTTACTCGCATTGATAGATGGTTCTTGTCGAAACTGCATAATATCCATCTTATGAAAAAACAGTTGCAGAAGACCGACCTGAACATGTTGAAACAGGACCCTCGCCTGTTCCTAGCGGCTAAGCAATTTGGATTTAGTGACAAGTATATGGCCAGTGTTATTAGAGAGGGCATTCCATCTTCTATGAATCTCCGCTATCTACGGATTCCTCAAGCTCGTATTGATCCTAGCATCCTTAGTCCTGATCTCAGCTGTAAGGTTGCGACGGACTCTAGTGTAGAGTCGACTGCATGTCGACAGGGCGTTGAGGAATGGCATGTCCGGTGTGTGAGGAAGCAGCTTGGTATAGTACCTGTGGTGAAGCAAATCGATACACTGGCGGCTGAGTTTCCGGCGCAGACTAATTATCTGTATATGACTTACAATGGAGTAGAGGACGATGTTGGGTCGGCCTCTAGTGAGCAGCCTGTTGGGCTACAGTCTGGTCAAGTGGACCCCAAGAGGGATATACGTGGGAAGGCCTTTATACAGGGCGAGCTCTCACCAATGACCAAGCTGGAATTATCACAAGAGCTCTCCCATGCTGAGGCTATGAAGTATATGATGTTACCTCCTGTGCGAAAGACTGCTAACAACAGCAAGAGGACTGCAGCGGTGGCCTCTCTAGCGGGATCTGACCGTAGGACTTTGCTGATGGTTAGTGTGTCGATTGTGTGTTTGTCAGGATCAGGTGGTCGTGGTTACAGGAGTAGTGTGTTGGTCCTAGGGTGCGGCTGTTATCGCATTGGCTCTAGCGTGGAGTTTGACTGGTGTTCGGTGTCGTGTGTTCGAGAAGTGCGGAAGAACGGCAATGTGGCTATTGTGGTCAACTGCAACCCTGAGACTGTCTCTACTGATTATGATGAGTCTGACCGCCTCTATTTCGAGGAGTTATCACTGGTAAGAAGTCTGAGGTTTTTCATACCTGTTGTATGTGGTATGTGCAGGAACGTGTGTTGGACGTGAACGACTTTGAAAACCCTGAGGGTGTGGTCGTCTCTGTTGGTGGGCAGACTCCTAACAATCTTGCCACAGCCCTCACAAGAAACGGTGCTAGCATTCTTGGCACCAGTGTTGAGAGTAAATAAGACTACTGCTGCTGACCTCTGTGTTGAGTGGTTTCTCTAGGCATTGATACGGCAGAGGACAGGTCTAAATTCTCGATGCTATGCGACGCACTTGGAATCGATCAACCAGAATGGAGTGCCTTCGCAACGTTTGAGGAGGTGGCAGTGGTTGTGTTGGGTTTTGATTTTATTATGTGGAGTGTTAGGCACGGCACTTCGCCAACAGAGTGAAGTACCCGGTATTGGTCCGACCGTCTTATGTGCTATCTGGAGCTGCTATGAGATGTGTGTATGACGATGAAGAACTCGAGAAGTAGTTGTTTGGTCCTTACCTGGATGGTAACGTACATGTTGTCGTGAATAGGTTCCTCAAAACTGCGGCTGTTGTAGCACAAGATCACCCTGTTGTGGTATCGAAGTATATCGAGAATGCCAAGGAGGTTGAGATGGACGCTGTCGGCTGCGCGGGTAAGGTCTCGGGGCAATTTCATATTGGTATGGCGTCACGTTGTTAAGAGGAATTCTCGAGGATTGCTAAGGAAACTATCTAATAATGATAATCGGACCGAGTGCTGGGGCAGTCTTCTTATTCGATTGTTGCGGAGAAGTTTGAAGGTCTATTATGTAGTGTTATATTTCAGGAGAGATAGTTAACTATGCTATTTCTGAGCACATACAGAATGCTGGTGTCCATTCCGGTGATGCTACTATACTCCTGCCCGCCCAGAAACTGTAACCAACTCATCTACCTGAGTGGTGACTGGTGACAGTGGTGGTGAGCAGGTACGTGGAAACCCATCGTCGTATTAAGAAAGTGTCACAGAAACTCTGTAAGGCTTTGAACATATCAGGACCGTTTAATATACAGTTTATGTGCAAGGAGAATGAGGTGACGACCGCACTAGCAGTAGGCTACTAGCTTACCTTGGTGGTCCTGCAGGTGAAAGTCATCGAATGCAACCTACGAGCCTCCCGTACTGTGCCGTTCATCAGCAAAACGTTCAATGTGAACTTCATCGAGATTGCTACTAAAGTAAGTGTTCTTACTCGCAGTAGTTGACTTGTCGTCGTCGTCGTGGATACTACAACAGACGAGTGGTAAGAAGGCTCGACGCTAAGTTTGATGCTCTACTTGATACCTTAGCATTAGCGTATAGATATAGTATTACTAAGTCTATATATCGACTATAGCTGGGCTCAGTCTAGAAAGTTAGTTATGCACTTGAAGAGTATGAACAGCGCAACTATCAATACTCTGAGCATACTTGCTGAATGGGACAACGTTTATACCATTTTGGACTTCTCCTCAGGTCATGTTACGTATACCGGTGCGTCCATGGAATATTCATCCGATCGATACTGAGTTTGTGGGGTGCAAGGCTCCTGTATTCAGCTTTCAAAGGTTGAAGAATTCAGACCCCCGTCTCGGTGTGGAGATGCAAAGTAAGTGTGTTCCGAAAACGTTGGAGTAGGAATATATGCTCGCTCTCCTCAGCTGAGCTTGGGAGTTTTCTCACTCATTATAGGAGCGTGAAAGTGTATAGAAATCAATGAGAATTTCCCAAAATTTCATCAAAATTTTGTATTATGTAGTTGACCATGTGCGTATATTGACACTGCATATCTTGTCACCTCAGGCACTGGTGAAGTGGCATGTTTCGGTAGAACACCATATGAGGCTTATCTGAAAGCCTGGCTATCTGCTGGTTACACTCTACCTACCAAAACCATATTGGTGAGTATTGGACCGGAGCAGCAAAAGGAGGAGTTCTTGCCTTGGGCATCTGTAAGAATAGATGGTGATGGTGTGGTATCGATTTCAAGTCTGTTAGATTTTGATTTCTCTCGGGTATCACTTGTTCGCGACTAGATCGACGTACCAGGTTATGAAGGATAAGCTTAACCCGAGCCAGAGCTCACTAACGCTAGTGTAGGCAGTCCGATGAGGCACTGGAGGGAAGGGCTCGTTTTAGATACAAACCATATGCACGCCGGGAGCCAAATGTGAAGACCCTAATTCAGAACGGCAAGATTGATATGTGCATCGTCATCCCGAGCAGTGCCGACTCCTGCGCTGTAAGGGTTTTCCCGAACATATTAAGTATGAATGGAGTTTCACCCGTTTTACGTGAAGTGGCGTAAAACTCGGTGAAAACCCTGAAATTTGCGCCATGCAGTAGTCGTGAAATATGTTTTTCACTAGTGTTTTTCATATCACGGGTGAAACTCCAATATACGTATAATAGTTCAGACACTTATATGCAATGATAGTATTGTGAGTGTTTGTGAGAGTTCCTGTTGAGAGTGATTGTGTGTAGATCACAGAAGGCTTCGAGATGAGAAGGTTGGCTGTTGACACGCGAACGGCTCTTATCAATGACATTAAGGAGGCAACTTTCTTGGTACTGTCACTTGAGAAGAAGTAAGTGTCAGTGGTGACGGGCTAGTGTGGGGAGTGTCTATCGTTGTCAGGGCGGAGCGGGAGAGGGACGGGAAAATATTTTTCGGAATCGAAACATGGCAACGATATCAAGAGTTGAAGTAGTAGAATATGCTTTTTATGGTGAAGGATGGTATGCGCCAGTGATGGTGGGATTTTTTTAATTTTCATCTAGTCTGCATAAGCTGATAGTTTCCACAGACTGTTAATATTGTGTTCGTATGGCAGTTATGTGGTTAGTCAGTTTGATATGTGACTTATGAATCACTCAAGGGCTATCAATTAGCGAGTTAGTGTGTCTCTCGCCAAGCGGTATGGCTGCACTTGTGGGTGAGAAGGAAGTGCTCAACGTACTGTATTCCCGTTGGGTCAGTGGTTATGATGAGATGAACTGCGATGGTGTTTTCCTGAGACAGCCTTTATAACTCTTGCGTGATACGGTACGCGGTGTGGACCACACCAGCATCGATATAACATATATATTGGCATTTTCTGAGTCCACCGGATCGACTGATATAAGTTTGGAAGCGTTAGAAATATGGACACCTTATCTACCCCAGATGCTTCCCATGATTGGCAATAATTGTCCTTCACTGCGAGTCCGTAGTTTCCAAAAGTCCTCGTATTTCCGGGTAGTAGCTACACAGGCCGTACATGTGTGTAGTGGTGGTGAATGTTATTTCTTCTGGACTACCGCTGTTGTGCGCCAAATTATAGCACTTACTGAGACTGAGTATTGTGAGCTACAACGCTGAGGGGTTGCGTTCAACTCGTCTTCCTACGATACAGGAGTAGCAATATGCTGTTGGTGCTCCCGACTCGAATGATTCAGTACTACCAAACATATGGATGTTGTGCTCATCTGTAGTTATGTTTTCTGAGGTCATTGCTGTGCCTGTAGAGCGTCGAGTTTGTGAGATGGATGGACGGCGGCGGATGTGGATCCTTCAGCTTTTATTTTATGGGTAAAAGTACCCAAATAGAGCATCCTATTGCTACGTTTGATATTGCTAATACCACACCATCGCGACATATATCGACAATTACTCTACTACTTGGAACGGCAACATCCCTCATCATCACATTAATCTTGATGAGCTATCGGAGTGCAACGGACGCTAAACAGGCGTGCTATCAACAACATCAACAACTAATGGCACATACGCCTACGGAAACCTGGCCAGCAGTTTTGGGAAGTACCACTGTGTCTTCACCCGAGTCCACGATAGGCTCTACAGCTAGTAGCAGTAGTAGTATTGGCACTCAATGTGAAGCGGCACGGTAATGAGGGCTGACATGGCTAGTGAGGATTACTCTCTGTAGGCCGTCCCTGGCCAGTAGCGAGAAGTCGTCGTCTATAGTATTACGGCAGGCGTCTCCCGGGGACTTAGTCGTGGCACCAAACGGTCAGCGGTTCCTTCTAGTACAGAAGTTATGGAATTCTGGTATGACTTTGGTAGCGGAGAATTTGTATGATGTGTCGGTTCGTTCAGGCCAGCCGGTGGATAAAAACCCGATACCACTCCTTCCGCCAATCCCGGGAGGGCAGATTCGGTATTTACCGTCTCCTGATGCCACAGAGTTGGACGAAACGCCAGCTCGGACTGACCTCAAAGGTGGTGATGGAGGGGGTCCAAAATTAACCCCTGGTGAGGCGCGTCATTCATCTGCCTTGTCACTATATCTGTACAGGGTCGTGCTCGGCGATTGACGACGGGACGCTGGACCCGGCCTTGCGAGAATATGTTGCATCCCAGCGTAAAACTTCTTATATCTTCAACTCCCTGGCGGGCCGAGGAGCATATGGAGAGGCATGGCGGGCTATGATGATGGATGGAAGCTGTCGGGTAATAACAGGATGGTACGGCGAGGGGCACTGGTCGAAAAACGGTAAAGTCGAGGATAGTCTTTATCGATGAAGACGCGTTTGGAAGGATAGTGCGATAAAGCTAGAGTATCCCCCGTAGCGGCCGCCTCTGGGTCGGTAGTAGTCATGGTAGGGATGTGGAGGGTAGTGTTTGTTGTTGTTGATGACGACGTGTTCAAAATGATAGTTCGACGAGCAAAGAAATGAACCGTAGCGCACGCCCCTTGCTGGCAATGATGGGTAGTTCATCGCTAGTTGTGTTCAGGAAGTTGTATTAAAGCGTATGTTTGTGGAGAAGGGGGAGCGTGTGAGACTATCCGGACTGCGAGAAGTGTACTTTGGGGAGCTCCTTCATGATGATGATGCTGAGACAACAGCAAAACATACAGCTCGATTTTTGGGTCACTTCATAGTAGATAGGAAGGAAGGCGGCGGTGGGGAGGAGTTTTGGCTGGTCTTTGCTAACGAGGGATTCTCCCTCATACATTGGCTATTCCAACCGAGTGGAGGGATCGTCACTCGGAGTCTGTTTTGGCGGACTCTTCGATCGGATAATGGCAAGTTGTTGAATATTATGAAACAGTTATTGGAAGCATTGGATGAGATACACTCGAAAGGCATCACTCACAGAGATGTTAAATTGGAAAATTTACTGATGAAAATGTCGGAGTCGGGCGAGATGGAGGTTAAGTTGGCTGACTTTGGTAGTGCTGTGACCTCTGACGCCCTCTACTATGGTGCAAAGGGACCGACTTCTGCTGAGGAGACGGCACGATATGCGCCTCCACCAGGATCGGGTATAGATGGGGAAGGGATGGTATGTGATCGATGGTATTGTTATTAGGTGACCAATGCTGCATTAGACAGCCTTCATTCGATATGTGGTGTGCTGGTGTACTCTGGCTCGAGCTCTTTCTTGGTGCTAGAGGGGTCTTCGAACCGGACAATGCTATTGACCCGAGGCATAGGGTAAGACGACACCTCCGATTGGGGGGGGAGTTGTAGGTGGTTTTCAGAATCTGTTTGAGCACCGTCTGAGAGCTGTTGGGGTACAGTCGGAGGAAGAGATAGATAGTGCATTGCGGGTTGAGGCTTTCAGACTATGGGGCATCACTGAGCAACCTATGGAGGGCGATCAGGCTGAGGTAATAATGGCATTACCGTAACTCTTTGAAGACAACAGATTTCATAAGGTGGCCTTCCAAGCGTCACTATACGAGCAGGATCCGCTGCATTCGGGTCTAATGCCGAGGAGCTGCATGAATCTTTTGCGTTCGTTGTTATCATGGAATCCCAGAGATCGTCCTACGGCTCGACAGGCTCTTAAGAGCGCATGCTTTTCCGAACCGGTGCCGGCCTCTCCTGAGTACCCCCATGTGGAGTTGTTGCCTCCACCGAAAGACATAGTGTTGAAACGGGAAGACTCTCTGAGGTTGGAGACGGTATGGCCGGGGGAGCTGGTCCCGATGGAGAGTTTAGTGAGCGCTACAAATACGGACATTGGTGTGCGCAGTCGGATGGAAGATCGCCATAGTCAATCGATAATTTTTGATTCAAAAACCGGCAAAAAGTATTTCCTGGGATGCGTTATGGACGGTCACAACGGGCCAACAGTAGCAGCTATTCTGGCCCGGCAACTCGAAAACCAGGTGAATAACTCGGCATTAGACAGTGTGTTGACCTATGGTTGCCTAGGTTGCGAGTAGACTGAGTTACGGTATGGATCCCCCTACAGCTCTACGCACGGCAATACTCGATATCGATACTGCGGTGACTGATACTTTGGACCTCACTGGGGTTGTTGGCAGTACGGTAAGTGGATGAGTGTTGCTTTGGAGGTTTGGTGATGATGTGCTCGTTGTAGGTTGTTTGTCTGCTTACTGATGGGTACTCATTATGGACGGCTAACACGGGGGACTGTCGTGCAGTGAAGGGCGAGATAGTTGATGAAAAGGATTGGTCTCCAGTGGTGAGATGAGGATAGGGATACTCAGTTGACATCTTGTTCTAGGTTGGAGGGCACGTCTCGTGGGGGGAGAATCATTCCGGGGTTGTGATAGGAAAGGAAACTCATGGGCGTATATTGGTACGCCCTGATGATACGCCTGATAAGCTCAAGTACTTGCTGGAGAAAAAGTAGGCAGGTGTCGTTGGCGTGATGGTGGAATCACTGGAGGTGTGCGCACAGGCTCCGACCGTATGGCAGTTTGGCTGTGGTAACGTCTCGGTTGACTACTGATCATAAACCTTGTGATCCTCATGAAGCCTCGAGAATAGAAGCCTTGGGGGGGAAGGTAGGGCTGGGCTGTCTGATGAGCTGCTGGCCAGGCAGTAGTTGTTGGTCCTTCCAGGTAACATGTAGTGATCGCTCAGCTGACCCCGACTCGGGTACTTATCGTGTTAATGGAGTGTTGGGTGTGTCTCGGTCGGTGGGTGTAAGGGAATTGAAGCAGTACGGAGTTGTAGCCGAGCCCGATGTGACTATGGTCAAGACTGGGGACAAGTGAGTGGTGAATTTAACATTATCATCATAATCATGAGAACAGAAATCATTAACGTCTCATCTGTGCTGCTTTTTTCAATGATTTATCGATGAGTTGTTGAGCACGACCTAGTAGGAGGGATAAAGTGTACTACTATCTCAGATTGGCGCGCCAATGGCTGGTCATGATGTGTAGTGACGGCGTTTGGGACGTATTGGATGACCAAACTGCTGCTGAGGTAAGGACTTGTCATCACTTTGAATGTTTTGACGCTATCTCAATCAGATTGCACTGAGTGTATCTCCTCGTACTGTCGAGAACATGAGTAAAGCTGTTGTCGAGGAGGCGAAGAAGAGGGGGAGTAGAGACAATCTTACTTGCATGGTTGTTTTACTAAAGTGGAAAGCCGACACCTGACGAGCGGCTACATTAACCCTTTTCCGCTCACTTCATTTCTGTGTACACTATGAACATTACCTTTAATTTTCTCGCCATTCTTTGGGCGGTGATTTGTGGTATAATATACTGACATCAAATACCCCTTCAGACGTTCTTCTATATGTGACATTTCTCGACTACAGTCTTGTATAATAATACTACTCATTCTACCAGCATATTTGCCAGTGTCCTCAGCCCAACCGGTCATCACTATTGTTGTTATCAAATGCTCATAGGTGTGAGGTTAGAGCTAGGTATAGTTAATGTTAATGACTTGGAGCTTGCGTTGTCACACTAGAGGGCGAGCGCGCATAACGTAGACGCATAATTGATCTCGCTCGCCCATTACACTATTGGAGACTGCTACCCAATTCCCCCGTTACCTTGTGAGTTGATAGTAAGAGTACCAGGTGAAGTAGTAGTAGTAGTAGCTGCCTTTTACATATACGTACATGACACTCTACCGACAAAGCCTTGCCATTCTAGCACTTGTAGTCGCTAATTTGATAATCACTGCAAGGTGTTGGGAAAGTGAAGTCTCACCTGAAGACTTCATGGTATCGCCAGTTGTGTATGGCGGCCATGGTCGACGTCTTGGTGAGAGTGCGGATACTTGTGAAGCTAGTATGGCTGGTCAACCCTGGGCATCCCTCCGTTTGGGGGTCCATTTCATCGACCTAGAGACCGACCTGCCAGACCAGACCATGCGGGACTTTGTTAGATCAGAAGCGGTGCCACGAGCCGTCTCCTACTGGCAGAAGACCTTGAAGGTTCGTCGAGCCCAAGCTCCTATTAGGGGTGCTAGGTCTTGTCGTAGTGAATGGCTTCCTGGTAAGTGTGCTCGTGTTCGTTATGAAGGTGGTGGAGCCTCCTGTGGTGCTATTGATGGTACTCCTATTATGATCCCCGATGAGTATCTAGATGAGCTCATCACCTACGGAGGGTGCTACACTGACGGCACCTGTATCTACCCGACCGTCTATCCAGCTGGTGAGGGGTACAGTGACGTTGATATGGTTATCCTTGTTACCGCCAAACCCGACTCGGACTGCGGTGCGAATGGCGTTGGTACATTCGCATTCGCTCTTAGTTGTCAAAGAGATCAGTGTGATAGACCTACCTTCGGCCTCGTTAATATATGTCCTCAAATGATCGATGTAAACTCTAAGTTTGCCAAGGATGAGCTCATTGGGACTATGATCCATGAGCTCACCCATGCCTTGGTCTTCTCCTCGAGCAAGTACGCCCTATACCGATACGCAGATGGAACTCCTCGTGTGCCGCGAGACACCTCTAACGATCAGCTTCTACCATACGGCGTCAGGTGCTCAAGTCGTGTAGCAGTAACGTGCGCCCTATGCGTTTGGTCAGGTATCAGTGTTCGACCTCTAACGGACTCTCCGTCACTTATCCGTCCTCAACCGGTAATTACATGTATATCGACGCCCCTGGTGTTGTTGAGGTCTCCTCTGGTCGTGGTATGGACAAGGAAGACTGCAAGTGCCCGACTGGTCGTACGGGCTCGACAACAAGCGCCGATATGCAGCAGTGTTTGCTAACACCTAAGGGGAGCTGTGTCTTTAAGATCGTCACACCCAAGGTGAGCATAGACTTACAATAGACAGAGTCGAAAAACATGGGAACTTCTGGGGAAATTCTTGCTGTTTCTTGTACCATTCTAGCTGAATCGGTGTATAAACTGTCTAGTATGATGAGGGAATCCGCGAGCTCAGATGAGGAAAGCGAACATATATTCTAGCGGGCGCTGAATGGTGTCGTGGTAGGTCGTAGAGAAGGCTAGGAATTATTTTGGATGCTCTGCATTGGACGGTATGGAGATCGAGAATCATGGGTCGGGACAGGGCTGTACTGTTCTCGAGTCCCACTGGGAGCAGAGGATCCTTGAGGGCGAACTGATGGTGAGTGACCTCTTGGTTGTTGTCTCTGATGGATAGGGCTTAGGTACCAGTAACGGGGTTCTCGTATAATTTCATGTCGGAGATAACACTGGCCTTGTTCGAGGACAGCGGCTGGTATCTGCCGGACTATTCTATGGCTACTAAGATGCACAAGGGAATGTTCTTTGGGTGAGTCGTGGTATGGCGTAGAAGGGTTGCATGATAAAGCCAGGTACAAACAGGGATGCTCCTTCGTTGAGGACAAGTGCATCAACATGGACGGTGACGTGACGTTTGAGGTGGGGAAGGAGAAGAGTAGCCATTTCTGTGCAGGGGAGGACGATAACAAGCATAGGTGAGTGGCAGTGTTGATGGTGAGAAGTGTAGGCCTATTCAGGTGCTCGCTTGACCTCAAGACCAAGGTTCAGTGCGCTATAAAGCACGAGAAGGCACCGTTTTCTCAATACGAGTAAGGACATGAGAAACGGAGCGTGTCTGTCGGACTGTTGTCGGGCTTAGATATTGTGGTCCTGTTAAACACAGCAAGTCGTTTTATGGAGATTATTGTCCAATTTGGGAAGGCGCCTCCTCGTGGGACTGCAATCTAGGCCGATGTAACTGACCCCCCTGTCTTGGGCGGATCACACACCATCTATTCAGTTGACGATATGTCGCGTCTCAATGGCGAGCTCTTCGCGAAGGACAGCGTCTGTTTGATGAGCTCACTACGACGCTCGCAGTACCTTGGTGATGGGAAAGTTAAGATTATTCCAAATCCGGAACAGGTGAGGGGAGAGGTCCCAGCGTAGATATGTTGTATCCATTGCAGATCAGCGCGTGTCACCGCGTGGAGTGCAGCGCCGACCGGAAGAGCTACACAGTTTTCGTAGCTGTCGGGTATGATGGTGTGAGTACCGACGTTCGTCCGATTGGAAGTTGTAAGTTTGATGATGGAAGTATGGCGAGCGCTCAGTCCTCGTCCCATGCATAGGCTATACGGCTGGGCAAATTCTGAAAGATCCCAGCGGGGAGTATTCTGAGGCAGTGAGCACGTACAACTACGAGGAAGGGTATCTCACCTGTACAGACCCCGCGCTGGTGTGTGCTGTGATGAAGTGAGGAACCTCATAGTGGAGGTCATCATGATGATGATTGAGGTCTGTCAGTTACCCTCACTTATCCCTCAAGTCTAACAATGAGATATCGGGCGGCTCGGGTAGTACGGTAATTCGTTCGGCCGCTATTGAGACGCGCTGTACTAGTGGAAATATGTCGTGCCAGTTGGAGACTGAATTCGGTGTTGGTCTTCGATTTAGCTCTCGACCCCTGTCGGTAGTGTTAATTGTTGTTGTGTATGGCCATTCTATGGCTTATTTTCAACTGTTGAAAACTCTAACAGTCACGAAATATCCCTCATTCGCATGCTTACGCTCGAATGAGTTCTTTATCGTCTCGACTAACGTATATTAACTCCATGTGCATCACTCACGTGGTTAAGTGCAGATTCGTATTCTGATATGCTACTGTGGATAGTAGAGTAGTAAAGGTTGTTGTAGTGGTAATGTTACTGTTTTTACCTGTCTGGAGTAAGAGGAAAGATGTTGACTGAAACTACAGTAGGCTGATTATAGGGCGCATGATGAAGAGCTCACTGCCACATGTGATGCGTGTGTCTTTGGTTTAACGAGTGTCTGAATTAGCATTAATGACGATGTGTCTTAGGTCCAGATCTAGGCGCAGAGGGCTTCGCTTCGGGGTTCCGACCAGGTTTATATACCACCATTCTGATCGCAATTATGTTATCCCTTGTATTCGCGTGATTTTGTAGTGGTTGTAGTCTCGGGAAATATCTTTATCAATTGTGAAATATACATATCCTCTACTTTCTGCAGAAATTGATTATTCATAATATCGTTATCAAATCTATTCCTGTTCTACATGCATGCAATTTGATGTTATTTTCAAATCACGAAGGCTCTAAATTTTTTTGCATGATAATTGCCTGTTGAGAATGATAAATCTGACGTTAGTTTTGTGTCGGTAGTTTCCAATACTGATCGCCTCGTGCATGTGGTTTGTCTCCTCTTTACGTCTACCCGACTGAGGCAGATACTGACCCTCAAAGGTGAGACTCGAATATAGATGGGCGAGTTTACATACCGGGCCGTTTCGACTGGTGTTTACACTTATGAAAGTGAGCGACCGTAACGTAACTTCACGACATGAACCATGACAAATTTGGTAACCTCCCATCCAACCACCCAAAATGTCGCGCAGCGCGGCCCGTGCTATATATCTCTCGTTAAACTACTTCACCCGAGCTTTCTGGATGTTTACTCCACGTACACTACCACTATGTCACACAAGGTCTCATAGTTCTTGGTCTCTACCGTATGGCTCTACCGTACCGCAAACAAGCCATCTATAGGTTAGGAGGTAGTATCGAATAGAGGAGAGCACTATGCAAAGTGTCTGTGATGTGGACGATTCATTGAGATGAGTAAGAGATCCCTCAAGAGGTGAACCATCACGAGGGCTCATGCACCAAGCGGAAGGGGGCATCTTCGTCCGTAGATGAAGAGGAGCCTGCGTTCAGTCAAGGTACGCATGTGGGCCTCTCTGAAGATGATTGCGACCTCGAATTGGTGGAGATCCTGACTCGGGGTCTGAGACCGAAAAGGATATAAATGAGCTCGGCGATGAAGCGTGGTCTGATGGTGTGATTACAACAGATGACCGCAGATGGCGATAATGGAGATCAGCGTTTCTGAAGGCAAGGGCTGATGGTCGTCTTCTCCCTCAGTCGTCCGGGGTTCATGACATCTCGAATGACTGTATGAAAAGTCACGGACTGTGAACAGCGGGAACTAGGTGAGCACTCCGTCGAGCTCGAAGTAGTGATAAAAGTGTAAGAGTTGGGAATTGATCGCAAGAGGCAGGGGCAGTGTGACTTTGGCTCTCATCAAATGGCAGTTAAGATGACACTGAGCATCAGGAAATATCTCGAATGATATTCATCTGAGATATTTCTTGAGGACGACTTTGAAGTAGGTGGAAACACATTGTCCCATGAAACCACAGAGAGGAGTTGACCGTCATAGCTTCTCGAAGATATTATGATATATGATCACCGAGAGAGGGCTATGAGCAGTTGTTCTCTATCAGAGGAAAAGAATATGCGTCCGTCCTATTACTCAGTGAACTCGACTCGACCGCATAACTCAACGCAATTTATTAAGAATTAATAGTTTACCGTAATCGAGTCAGGGAGGCAACTCACCACATCAAGTGCTGGATGGGGTGTAATAAGCGACTTAGACGACAAGGTCTGCGACTGAACCTAGCCTGAGATCGACTCAAGCAAAAAAATGGAAATCATCTTGTGAACGGGCCCTACAACAACATTCAATGCAGAATCTCTGTGACCCATTCATCTACACTCCGAGTAACCCGCCTTAATTTTGGTACCATTGACCGTCAGAGTGAACGCGTCTTCTGCATCGTTATAGGGGAGCTTTGCCCACTCCATTGGGTTTAAACGCAAGGTCTTGGTGAAGTCGATCAATGCCTTGGCCGTGATGTTGACGTTTATGCCAGGTTTCCCACGGTTATAACTCCACGGAATGAAACCACTTACTAATATCTCTTCGTTGAGAGTGTAGTAGATGTTGAAATAACCTTGATACATCGGGATGAATGCCAAGAAACCTCGGAAAAGTGGGTTATCCTCCGCACAATATGTAGTGCTTGGTGGGAACGCCAGGACGGTCGAGAGATATCCTACTGTCAGAGCGATGGTGAGGATGATCAGCATTCGAATGAGGACTACTGACAGTGCAGCATTCGGAATAGAGCTGGTGTCTCATCTGCCATAAGTGTGACGGGTTTCCTGCGTGCAATGAGCATCCAAAAGTACACGAAGAGACAGGCGGTGTTGACTTCGGTCCGCGGGGTTCATCATTCAAAACTCTGGATGAACCCAGACGAGCCCAACGATTTTGTTATCAATACGCTTCGTAGCATGGTCTGTACATCGCTGGGACAGGGCATAAATTCGAGAGAGACTTCCAACCCAAAAAGCTTGACAGGATCGAAAAACGTACCGTCTGCGCGTCACCATCACAAGACCGGGTCACTGTCCCGAGGACCTCCCCGCCGAAGAAGCGAAGTCGAGTACCGGATGAGCTCTTTCACAGAAACCTCTGCATCGTACCTTAACAGGCGACTCCAGGGCTACTAAAGGGGAAACCCGTGGTGAAAACCTGGACATTCTCAGCCGGATATAACTCGCTAGTCAGTTGTTGTCGGTTGAGCAGTGTTCTGAGTAAAGAAAACTTCCCGTTCTGGCGCTGGTTTTCAGCCGATTCTCACTCCGTGTCGGTACGGCAACACTGTGTGACGTCAACCTGGTTGGATTGGTAACTCATAAGGATCGCCACTCTTATGATGAATCTTTTCTTCAACGCGCAAGATTGTTCAGATCATTAAAGCTCACTGAAAGCCTCATCGTAGAGGATACAGATCCCTATGTAGGTCTCTAAGATTCCTCCTCGACTTGGATAGACAGGAAGGGTTTCTCAGCAGTAGCATTAAGATATTGTTTTCAGTGAAGCGGTAGGATAGAATATATTACACTCGACCAAAGCATGCTCCGAACATAACACTATATTAACTAACGTATTGCTAGATAAATGGATGGTACGATCGTACATGTATGACGCACGGAGCGTAATGATCTGTGAACTCTTGTAAACGCAATGCATGGTACTAGAAAAGTTATGAATGGCAGCACGAGAAGGACAACAGGAACAGCTGAGTCGACCAATAGCATCACAGAGAGCACTATTCAGGATAATAACTGCGGCAGAGGTCTCGTAGGTGGTCGCCATGTAAATAGAACTCTCCTATTATCCTCTTCTCGTCCCCTTCACTCGGGTACGCTGTGGTCAATAATATCTATGAATCAAGCATGAGGCCGTCTTGTGAAACTTCAGTGACGTTACCTGGTATAACCCTATAGTAGCTGCCAGGACCAAGGACTTCCACTGTCGTTCCTCCGCTGCGATCGCCAAGACCTCGTCGTCGAGGGTGTCTTCGTCCATCCCCAGCATGGACCTATGCGAAATAGACCTTTATCGCCAATTCCAAGATATGATCGATGACACGGTAGAACTCGTGAAACGATCACACGTATGGTCTTTGAGACAAGTATAGTGACAAGTACAAGGCATGAACAACTATTGATGATATACACAGCAACAACTCACTGATCAGATAGGCCCTGTGTAGGAGGGGACTGGCATGGTGCATCCAGCTGATCACAAATTGCCTTCACAAGACCAAGTGGACCTGTCGAAAATACTCTCAGAGTGCGGCATAAATTCCATACCACTCCTTTTGTATCTCGTCTCCAAATCAACCACGATATCCCCTACTCGATGATCATCCCTGAGCCTCCCAAACGCCGCACTGTAGTGTGGCTGCAGACCCTCGTCCTCCGCGAGGCGATACAGATACGGTTCCAATTCTCGCCAGTACCTTACGAACTCCATTGACGCCATACTGCGACTTGAATGATTACTAATCACCCCTCACTCCACCCCAAGGCCCATCGACCAAACATATCCTCCTCCTCCTTTTCCTTAGGGCTGCTTGTCCGATGTCGTGGAGGCCGCTGCGGCGGTCGCGACATGCACGTTATGACTCAATGAAAAACGATCAAGTCGAGACTAGTGATGAATCGGAGGAGATCATATTGCTTCTTGGGAATACAAGATTCTAGCGAAAATAAATTCACTAGTAAATGATGAAAATTAAATCACAAATTTACAAAATGGTCTACATAGTATATCAGAAATCACTTTTGAAGTAATTCAATTTTTTTCAGGCAAATTCTAAACTTCAGCATTTCACGCTAACTGATGAGTATTTGAGGCTCGATTTGACTCTAGCAAGACTTAGATGTAGGTATGAGATATCATAACTAACAGAAATTTACGCCTCCTCACAGACCCGGCAAAGCCTAGTGTAAGAATTCTCACAGAGTTACATGCCTAAGGATCAACAGCTAATGCGAGAGCACTTCCGAATCAATGCCCAACTCGAAATTTTCGACATGAAAACTTCATTATTAATTCCGAACACTGCTGATGCCATGCAAACTTCTTTCTATCCACCGTGAGAGAACACCCGAGAGACGAACAGGTCTTGTTGCTTCTTATCACGTGCTGTCAAACACGGGTCTATCGACCTGAGGTCTTCAATCGCACGAACAATCCTCATGGGACCTCACTGTATGCCATGTCTCCGACGCCCAATCTCAGTGGCTGAGTTCAGGAAGCCGCCCCTTCTACCGCAGGTGAATACAACATCGTCTTTGAAACACTAAAGAGGGGCCTTCTTTCACTACAGCCCTCACAGTGTTACCGCTAAGTCTCTGGACTTGGTTTTTTGGTGTTCATCGTCAGCAACACTTTTTTGGCCTGCATAGAGTGAAAGTGGCGGAATGATAGGATGGATAATAAACCAATACAAGAGGATGAAGAAAATCTCCTCGTCAGGGAGGAGGTATGTGGGGAAAACGCCTTCAAATCAACTCCACGAGATGTTCCCGAGTTGAAAACCAACGAGCCTACAGACAGTACGATCTCCTGAATATGGTAGAAATGACGTCTGCAATTCCATCTCGCGCGTCCTCGTCCGAGCAGGGACATCCCGACTGCAAAATGACGGCATCGAAGGCAAGAGCGATGATCCCTGAGCTCACCCATGACGACGCCCGAGCTCTCGGGCTGGATGATACCACGCTTTCTTCGGATCGTTTCTGAAGTCTATAGCGCCGCCCATATTAAGATTCTCAGAGGTCGGCAATAGGTTTGCATCATAAGAAACTGCAGCTATTGGGTGGCGTCACCACGGCTGAGTCGCATCCTTACCCCTAGTTCGGGCCGCATCGACGGTATCATCACCAGCGAGCATCCTGGCCTTCATCTCTCTAGCGCTCTTCATGACCATACCCGGCCCAGGCCCCGGCATCTCAGGGTGGACACTTCCTCGAATGATGGCTGATTACAGTAGTCGGCCGATCGGATGTAGGGCTGTCGACTATTACCCAAAGTTTTCTCCTGGTCATTGAGATCGTAACTGAGGACAGCAACTACTTAACTATAGCTTTCGAGAGCCCCAGCAGAGTTGGGAGGATTACAGGTCACTGCCATTGAAGATATTTGAGTGCATGTGTATATGGCGTCGCTCTCTAGCACTCAGCCCTCTTCGACGGAGCCGGTCTGTTAGGTTGTCGTGCATGAGTCAGAGAAAACAGATGAAGCCTTCCTCTATACAAGTCACCAGGAGACTGGATGCAAGACCAATGAGAAAAGAATCAATAATTGCCATTATTGATAACCGCGATAGTGTTTAACACGATAGTGTTTAACATCATCATTATTAAGTTTTTAAACGTTATCAGTGTTTAACACAAAGTGTTACCAACTGCTATCTCCATCACACCAAAGAGACCTCGACCGAAGCTATTCGTAATAGAGCCCATCATCGATCCGTTCACAAACTGATACAACTTCATCAACTCCTCAAGTCTGCCAGTGAAGGAAACGAGTCTATTAAGGACAGTGTACTGAACAACAAGCAATCAGGAATAGCATCAATCACTCCTCAACGATCTTATTTTTCGATTTCACCAAGTCAACTATTTCTTGGCTGTATCCTTCTATCTCATGCTGAATATCCGTCCATTCTGATTTCCTCGACAGTCCATTCTCCTGTAGTTTTACGTTGACTTTACGTACTGCACTTCTAACCAGCATCGACAGGCCTCCTTTGTTTCCAAGGCCCTTCTCACACTCGCCGACCAGAACTCTCATACAGTCTCGAAGCTCAGTGAGTTCGAACTTCACAGCTGGCAAATCTTTAGCGTCATGGATCTGTTACGAAATGCTGTACTCTTCTGGGGCGTTATATCTTACCCTCGGCAGTAGATGTCTGAGCTGAAGGACTCTCTGTTTGGCGATTTCTTCATCAGAATCGGCTAGTTGAGCCAAGCACCGGTGACACACCGCACTAGTGCCATGCAACTTCGCCAATGTCTCGAACATTTCTACAGCTGGTCTGCGTTTTCCTGTGCTCACCGATAGATTCACGAGATCCTGATAACGGGCGTGTCACCACTTGCGTTGTTCTAAGTTCACTCACTTTCAACAAGGCATCATCATCTAGAATTGAATCAGCTCTGCCAAGGTCTACTGCTAGACCTCTGGCAGCGTATGTCATACCCACAGGATCGCGTCTCATTTGACCGACCTAAAGTAATACCAGTTTGTTCAACCAGTGACAAGAGCAGCTCTACGCGAAAGGTGTGACACTCACAAAAGTGTCACCACGCCTTGTAGCACTGATCTCATATATTCGACAAGAGAGCATATCAGTTAAGCATATAAGTTTTGAAGGTCCTCAAGCCAAAGGCTTTCAGTAGGAAGGCAACAAGTTGGTCATCATACAAGCTCTCTAAGCAATGCATTCACCATTCAATCACCCCGAGGTTTACCGTAAGAAGATTCTGCCACATTCTCCATGACTCGCGAGCTCGCTTCACAGCTTCAAACGAACAGGTGTAAGCATACTTCAGATATCGTTCAGTCTCGTGGGTGATCTAAACAACATATACAGGTGTAGCTATAGCCGATCGATTTGGGGCGAGCGAGACAACCCACACAAAAGGAGACAACATATCGATCAACATGGCGCGCGCTACTTACATCTGCTTCACTATCCAAAGTTGTATCTTGCTGGTTCATCTTCTCCTGCGCCATAGTGATATATGCAGCTGCCAGGTTGGCCCAAGATTGTGCATCAGTGTCGTCTACTCCCAGAGCCCGAGTGAACGCCGTAGCAGCGTCCTGGTACTGCGAGACTTGCAAATACATTGCTCCCAGGGAAAACCAAATGCCTGAAAACATAAACTGCCACGACAGACCCGACGATAAGGCCGTGAAAACTACCAGCCTTCAACGGTGAGATTTCCAAACTGTTTTTCAGACACTCTATAGCCTCCTGTCGTTGCCCATGCTGAAGTGCCCATCTTCCCAAAGACCGCATAGCTCGAGCGTAACGGTGCTCCGACTGACAGTACTTCCCCTATGTGAACAACATGCCTCGGCGCCTACCTCCTCCCAAGCTTGCTGCCACCATTGCTTCACACCAGTAATGTCACCAAGTTGGCACAACAGTCGCGGCCTAGTCGATGAGGGGGTATCAGAGGCTTCAAGACGTTCCTTCACCAATTTTTCAGCTTGATGTTTCCTGCCAAGTTATATCCACAGTGCACAGGAAATGCTCAGCAGCACGCGTAAATTTGTTATGCAGATGTGAAGAATGTGTATTACACCGGGAGAAACTGATAGTGAACAAGTCGTCGCTATCACAGTCCCAAATGGGTACTCTCATCACAACAATTGCGGAGCGAGCGAAGCGGGCGGAGCATATACCGCAACAACAGGCATTTTCGCGTCGTGCGTGCGTGCAGAATTATTCTGGCTTAACTACAAAGCGAGGGAGGCTATCAGATAGATCAAACGACTCCTCTCTATGCGGAGGTTTTGCGAAAAATCAAAAAACTCGATTATGCGAACAGCTCGAAGAGATATGCACGAAGAACTTTAATGATGGAGAAATGTCCCACCTGGGGATCGAACCGGCGACCTATGTCGAATTCATTGATCGAATCAATAGACATGGACTAAGTGAACTCCGCCCCTTCGTCACGAAGGCCTAGTATTCATAGCTATGGTTTACATTGTATATGCGATATAGTTTCAAATCGGTTAGCATCGATCTCGGAGATAACACACATATGCATATCAAATTGACACGTATATGATGACTACCTGTCTGCAACAATAAGGCAGTCAATAGCCTCACACCACATGTTGATGCTAACAAACATATCATAGGCCGACAACACCATACCCATCTCCATCATACGTTTACCAAACTCACGTTGTAGCATTGGTAAAGACGGATAGTATCTAACAACATTCAATCAGTGTGACAAAAAATATAAAAATTTCCGATGAAATTCTCAATAGTTTCCGCGCACTTCTACTCGAATTCGTATTTAACTCCTATAATTAGCGAAAAACATCTAAGCTCCACTGAAGAGAGCGAACACTAACTGCTGCTACTAATACCACTACTAAAAGGACGACCGAGGCCATGAAGTTGAAACAGTCTCGGGTGCGCGAGATTACCATAAACTGCACCCGAAACAGCAATTATCTTTTCGCTATGCTCCATTGATTGCCAGAATTAATTACTACTGTATATCCTATACCTCGCGTGAATATCTAAGCTTTGAGCTCATACAACGTTGACGAGCTCACAGTTGCAAAGTGTCTTTGTGGAGATACATAAAACATTCAACGTCTGTGCCGAAGAACACACAAATCGAGAAATCTTCATTCTATCCTAGCGAAATGTCACAATGATTATAACACCACAGATAGTATCCTCTACTTTCACAACTACCACCCCAAAACCATTGCTTTTATCACTAACATTAGTAAGAGGTACCCCTCCAACTGTAGACACCATCAGTAGTACACCTTATATTCAACATAAACCGTAGCCTTCATAGTAAATTTCATATAGCCGCCTATGATGACCACCCCCTCCAACCTTCACCACCCTATTACACTGAGTGGACGTATCCAATCCTATCCGCAACAAGTGCCGCACTAGCATCACCCTCCGGTAACTTGTCGTTATACTGATCCACCAGAGCTTGCAATTGGAAAGCCGCACGATTCCTCGTTTTAACCCTGCCGAACTCCGTACGACAACGTAACCACAGCCCGGCAGAATACACCAACCAATGGGCCGAGCAGCCAGCGTCACGAGGATCTAATCAAGAACGCATTAACCCCTACCAAGTACACTACCATTCTCACCGCTGAGAGTCTCCGGAAGTACCAAAGCACGATTCACTAGGCATCCAATTTGCTCCATCGTAATAGCATCATCATCATCAGCAGCGCTTGACAACAGCAACCTCACAGCCTTAGTAAGCAATATAGCCTGTTCTACTGCATGCAGTACACTAGGCTTGAACTCATCAGAGGTGTATTCGACCGACTCCAATACATCAGTATCAGGATCCAGCTCGGCCATCTGGACGTTCTGGTGGGCTTCCCCGTCCTGTGGCGCGGACCCACTACTGCTACTCTCCATAACAGGAGCAGCCAGAGTGCTCTTGGTCACACACGTGAGCTGGGCGAAGGCTTGCGTCTGATACCGACGTTTGATTCCTTCTACCCCTGTGATCTCCCAAGAGAACCCCACGTGCTTAGCAGCAGCATCGATAATCTCATCAGACACGTCAGTCGGTAGTCCGTAATAACTCGTATGAATAGCCAATTCCAATACCATAACAGCCCGAACTGTCTCCGAAACTGCTTCAGCTGGTACGACCTTCAACAGTGACGATGCATTCTCATTCGTGGTGTCACCATCATCATCACCAACTTCCCTGAGTGCTGATGGAAGCATCGAGGGACCACATGCAATGACCTGGTCAGAGAGGTCCAGTGCAATATATCCTCCTTGTAGTAGTGCTTGTGCATATTCCTCGACACAAGCCTTCATACACGTCACACTCTGGCCGTCTCCTCTGGCAGTAGCCTCAGCCAGCATCCGTTGCCATACGAAAGCCGCCCTAGCCCGCCACACTGGTAGTGTTTCCAGCCCGGACTGTTCCAGCATATCACCACAGAGAACAGTTACGCTCGTGAGTAGAAGTTGAGGCCCTCGAGTTACGTCGTACAGCGGCTCACCATCGACTTCAAGACGACTCAGAACGTACGAGTTACGCGCGGACTCCAGAGCTCTCTGATTAGGAAACATCGGAATCTTATCAGAAGTGACCTCAGGCCCTGTCCAGTTGGCTTGTAGGAAGCATTGTAAGCACGCCACAGCAGCGACCAACACGGACAACTCCGACTCAGGGCCGCGGCCAACAGCAGCATCACGTAGGGACCGCTCTAGTGTATCGGTATCTTCCCAGTCGTGTAAGAGCTCAGCAATGACCGGCTCTTGAAACGCCACTTCCCATTTTGCTTCTACTACAGCGATAGCGGCCTTTCTAATACTTTCATAGACCGGCGAGCTGGGCAGCTCCTGTGGTGGGGTCGGTGGTACAGTGTAACGACTGTGAGGGTAGAGGAGGTAGGTCTCCACGGATCGTACAGCAGCTGATAAATCTGATGACATTATGATGACAAACCTCCAGCTAAATGCACTGTCGAGGTGAAAACGGAAGTTTCGACAACTTGGAAGATATGTAAAGATGTGGTAAACTTTAGCGCGCGCCCACCTGTGCGCAAGTCTCGTGCGTGCATCCGTGTTGTAAGCCGTCCCCACCAACCATTGTCATCAGATAGGAGTGCCGAATTGGTTCCCTGAAATGGCGGGCTCGGCGGTGGCGCATGTCGTCCAGTTTACTAGGGGTTCTACTCAGCAGCTACCATTCCCCGAAGACCTCTTCTCTGGAAAGGGGTGTGAGTGCAGCCAACCCTTGCCAGGCTTGCTAAGGCGTATCCCCAAAGTGGAGGAGGTAACCCCCCCAAATGCCATACTAGTGATTATTATTATGTCCATTTTTCAGCGCCTACATTGCATGAGTGTCTGGCCATCGACTCCTTCAGAGGGGAGGTCAACCCTCGAAGTTGCCCCTTCCGAGTAAGCAGTCAGTTGTTCCTATTCTACCTACAACTCCTCGATAACCTCAGGTCCTCATTATCATCATCCTTGTCTACTGTACACAGTGCATCTAGTTTGACATCAACATTGGCATCAAGTAACGATCTCGAAACTTCGTATAACATGTTAGAGTCCGTCGAGGATCTAAGAGTTACCGATTATGCAGCGACTTGGTGGTGACCAATCTGAACAAGTGAGGAGGGTGTACGTGTCACCGCAGTTGACTGTGTTCGACTCTGTTATATGAGAGCCCTTTTTTTACGAACTCGATGACGTTTTGGTTTGTCCCTGAAACCTTATAATTTGGCAACACTGTTTTACTGTCTAGTTTCTGTTCAGCTGGGACTATTATGAATGTCGCTGCCACATTGAGATTCAGACATTCATCTGTACTATCATCACTACTCTTAAGCTTAGTCTTACTCCTTATGATGAGAGATGTGCCTTGCTATCCTCCACGTTTTTGTATACCTATATAGGAGATTTGCTCGACCTTACCTTACTCGGCGTGGTGTGGTAAATTATATAATTCTTGGAAATTCGTTAAATACCCCACATTTGACAGTCTTGAAGACAGAACTGTCCTGAGGCCTCTGAGATCTCTGAGGTCCGACATTGTCATCAGTCTGTAGTAGTGTGATGCAGCCTTCGTACCAATTCAGTACTACTATATATATCATCAATTGATATCATTTATTCTCCCATTAATATCATCAATACTGGTATTCCCCTATGTTCAGGCACCACATCGCCGCGACATAACCTGAACTTCCTCAAGGCTCGTCCCGTGGCCGTCATATATTCTGAAGTAGTCTACATATGGTTTGTCCTTTTTGTTATCGCTGATAGTCTGCTACATGTATTATTATTACTTCTGTCAACTTCGTCAAGTCACTCGAAAACATTTACGCAGTCACAACCTATTGGTCCATCGAAACAGCTCTTAACTGGTGCTCTTTCGAACTGTATAATTCGCTTATGTGTGTCAATGTCGGCGAAACTGCTGAGGTGAGTTTTCCATTTTCCGCGTGCTTTCTATCAGTTGTTTGTCTTGTTCAGATCTGTGTGCTCATTTCTGACGCATCATCCTCCAGTCGGGTCAGTGACCTAGTTTTATCGAGCTCAGCAAAAGCAGTAGCTTACATTGGTCACATTTTACCACCATCTTCAGACGGAGGTCGATTTCTGAAACCCATTTTGACCGCGTGGTACATCTGCATCGTCGAGCACCGGGATTGCTCGGTCGTCGTCGTCTTCATCATCATCGTTGAAAGTGTCAGTGTTCTAAGTACCCCATGCAGTAGCCCCTCTATCGAGCACTATCTTACAATGGTTATTGTTATTCAATTCACATCAGCGTTGTAGGGGAAGGTTAACTGAACTCGTTATGCGACGGAGCTTCTCTTCAAGTTGTTTCTGTAGACCCATGTGGACTGATCGAACTGACTTGTGAGGAAGGCCTGCATTTTTGGGGGAATATCGTAGCAGTGCGACACGTGTCTAGACTGCAGTCATAACTCCGTACTCGCGACAGTGGTTATTGCTATTGGAATAGTTGTTTGCGGCGTGGAGGCTTCATTTCATGACCACCCCCTCGACACTGGATGTTCGATGCAAGAAGACTCTGGAAGTCCTCCTACGTCCCAAGTAACTCTAACACAACCACCGAAGTGTCCTCCTTATAGTACTCTTTCCAGATACTTCCGCATTATCCATCCTTGGCTAGCAATCTCTACAGATTCCGATAAGCAAATTTTGGTGAGAGCAACTATCACAGCGGTGTTGATGGTCATTGCATGTAACACAGGCCCATGTTGGCGACGTTTTGCAAGGGTCCTTCGCGAAGTCGGGCGCGCGGTCTCAACCCAATGCATACAATCTACCGCGGGCAATAGAAACTGTGGTTCAAGGATCGCTAGATGTAAGGCGTGTACTCCTATGCTGTTGTGACGCCGTTACAGATTGAACAGTTGAGGGAAGGCAAACCGTCCGGGCCGCGATGCAAGTCCATTTCCTCGAGAGCAGTGACTAGGGGCACTTACAAGAGTGAGGACCTAAACTGTTCGACTCAGCATTAGGTGGTTACCTATTTTATAAGGTTCTGAGGACGTCCATAGAGCGTTTGCTATGGAGAACAGACCTTTACGGTCTCTACCTTTCTCCCAAATATTCACATCGAAGGCCTTGGAAAGAGTCGAGGAGTGGCAGGTGAGGCGATAGGGCTAATTGCTTCGCTCCGCTAAAGTTCGTCTAGAAACAATCAGCAGCCAGAAGTTGGTCTTTGCAAAGCTTTTCGGCGTACTGGCGAAAGCGATATCCATCGATTTAATGACCGATATGATCACAATAAAGACGACGACCATGTGTTGCTGGAACTTCAGTGTTGGAATATACGTTCGCTCTCCTCAGCTGAGCTCAGGAGTTTCCGCGACAAGTATAGAAGTTTACATACGAAACCGGGTAGGAGTGTCCAGGAAACAATGAGAATTCTCCCAAATCTCCTCAGAATTTTCATGTTGTCACCAACACATGTAGTTGACCATGTGCATATTTTCCCACACTGTGTAACTGAGCTGCCGTCGTATTGACTGGTGGTGACTCATGCCTCTCTCAACCCAGGGGGACAGACGTTGCTGACACAGAGTGTTGTACAGCGAGGTCTTCGCATCCCTATCGCAGTCGGGGTAGTGATGAGTTCAATGCTTCAGACGACGTTTGAGGATTCCACGCAATGGCCGAACAAGTCCGCATTGGAACGGGTGCTAAGGAGTCTGTGGGTATTCAATTCTAGCATGCCCACCTATACTGGACTGATTAGAGTAGGCTCTCCTTCCGACCCTTTGATGCCTTACATCAGTGCTCAGGATGATCCAACGTATCAGAGGCCCGCCTCAGCTCCATTTCGTCTTCATGAGTTGTCGATGGTCAATAGAGATATGCAGGTGGCTTGTATCTCATTCGGCTCTCTAGGCGCATTAAGCGCATCTTTCCCAGTCGTCCATCGCTTACGAGGCTAACCGTCGTGCCCTTCTATACACCCCTAGGGCGTTACTGAATCTTTCAGCTACTGAAACTGAGTGAGTAGCCCTTATGCTGTGTATGGTTGAGTGAATCCACTCCGCGTGCTCAGTCCCTACAGCACGGAACGCTTCAAGCGAACCAAGGTGTCTGTTGCTCCTCATAATAAGGGGCGCTCAGTATTGCCCAAGGTGGGGCTGGCCGGTGAGAGCGTCATGATCATTGCTAATCTCAGGGTGGCTCTAGAACGCTTACTACGACTTACTTGTCCACTTACGTACCTCGAGTGAATGCCAAGTGGCACAAGGACACTCTGTCGTATTAGAGATCGGCTCAGGACAACGCGAGCGGTTGAAGCATGTTTTATGTGTTATTGGTGTTGATGTCGTTACCGAAGAGGTTGTGCTGAGTTCACAGTTAGCCCTCGGTAGTCTCCACATAGAAATGTCAGTAAGCCGTGAGGATGCAGGACTCCTGCCAGAAGCAACCTCCGCTGAAAGCCTCAGTGAAATATTCCATGATTGCATGGGCAGCTCGAATGAGCAACAGTCTGGGTTCCTCATAATCGGAGTGAATCAAGGGGCTCTATCGTCGTGGGTAGCCCAAGACGGGGCACCGTGTTGTGCCGCGGCGGTAGTTGCTGCTGCCATAAACTGCTGTGGTTCGGGACGACACCAAGACACGATTGGGAAAGCATTAGAAACACTACTGGTAGTAGTTGAGTCTCGGATTGTTAGACTGATGGAGCGAGCGAATGTTTTGGGAGAACCAGGAGATATTAGGAAGCTCTTGGAAGATCGTTTTGATTCAGAAATACCCGGCTGGAACAGTTGTAAGAACAACCAGAAAGCTATTGATCGAATCGTTGCCGAGGTAGCGTCCGAAGTGCAGAGACATCCTACGGAGCTCGGGGATCCTTCGAAGCAAGCATTCGGAGACTCCACACGAAGTGACAGAGAAATGCCGATTTCCTTTGATATACCATTTGGTGGAGTAAATGACCTCTCACAGGTTTTGCTAGCTATGGTGGGGAAAATAGACTGTGCGCGAAAGTTGCAGAGAGATAAGCCATCGACAGCAGGGGTCGGGAACTGGGCGATTAAAGCCGCGTTGGAAGCAGAAGGGTTTCGAGTTGAGAGAGTATTGGGCAAGACTGGCCTTGGTCGTTGTCCGCCATTTATTAGGGCGACTGATGAAGGAGCTTGGGATGCCTTCAAAGTGAAATTCTCGAAGTATGATTGTATGATCGTCCACTTCAAGAACCATTATGCTTTGGTCTTCGCCTTCCGAGAACGGGGAGGAAATCTGAAGCAAATACTAACAGCGCGGAAAGGCCAGCGGCCGAAGGATTGGGTTCATTGGGAGGAGATTATCCGGTCGGTGATCAGATGGCAGGGTTATGGTATGCTGGGTATCAATAGAAAGAGGCAGTGCGATGGGGTCATCGATAAGCATGCTACTGTAGAGTGATGATTCTGGAAAGGACATATGGTCTTCTGCTGAGTCGTGTTGGGAGTGTCGAAAGTAAATCACGCAACAGTATGAGAGCGTTGTTGGGTAGGAGAAGAGGATCGTTTGACATCCACTGAGATATTGTCATATTTGGCGGTACACATTGGGTCGAGATCCAAACTATCTGTTGGTAGACTCGACTATCTCCATTACGTTTTATATTGCATCAGCGAATCGCTGATGCAATATCGAATGCAGATATCGCTGACAGCGATATCTCTCATACTTGGCATGAATTCTTTACTTCATGCCTTTTTTCAGAGTTAGTCAGCTTGCGTCTGCGTGCTACTTTCGTACGCAGACGCATAGCAACGCAACGGTGAGGGATGGAGGTGCGCAGTATGGTGGAAAAATATGCGTAGAAATGTCCCCACCGGGGATCGAACCGTCGCCCCATCTCAGTTTCCGCGCAAAACCTGGACGGCAGGAAGTAGTGGTCGTGCTGAGGAGGTCTTTTGTGCATTCCAGAAGTCTTGAGTACCTTTGGTTGTGCCTCAGGATTGCCGTCCAATCTAATGTCTAACTCGGATGATGAAGATGCTGATCCTGTAGTGGATGAGCAACTCGTAGTTGTACACTTCCGGGAGCTTGCACATAGTCATTTCGGGAAGGCTGTCGATCCCGACACAGTGCGGTTAGTAGGAATGGGTAATTCCAACGATTAAATTCGTTCTAATACCACGCTCTCATCGCTTCAGACAAGCCAGGGGACGGTAAATTGATAGTCCAAGCCAATGGTGAGGAGGTCGCCCTTGATGCGATGGTGGCTGAGCCGCCGGGGAGCTTCCTTATAATGGAGAAGGAACCTGTGCAGCAAACTAATACCGCGGATAATGCGGCTGAGAAAACACCAGAGGAGCCGCATGCTGGTAGTAATAACGGGCGAGGAAGGTCGATGAAACTATCGTTAAGTAGGCTACAAAGTTTATGGTACGACTCGTGGTATGATTGATGTTTCGGTGCCTCGAATATCAGCACCGGTAACACACAACACTTCGGACCCCTTGGCATCAACGACAAGAACACCTAGAGGTGGCTTAAAGGCAGCAAAGGAGGGGGACCGGTCGTCCACCATAGGAGGGCCTCTGTAGACGTTTATTTTAACGATTTCCGTCCGCCCCAGTTGTGGTGTTGTTGCACGGGTTGGTAGGAGTCACTGCCAGTATGCAGATGGCCAACAGTCTGTTATCATCATCTTCATACCTCACGTTTGGTCGAACGGAGCTATCAGGAGCCGTTGATCTATTTTTACGAGGGATGAGCTGCAGGTGAACAGGCTTCGTCAAGGAAGCCGTCTACCAACGGCGAATCAGGAGTGAATCCATGAATGCACGGATCATCATAAGAGGATGTTATAGCGTATTATCCATTCGACAGCGGCAGGATTCGAACCTGCGCAGGCTGAGCCTAGTGGATTTCAAGTCCACCTCCTTAACCACTCGGACACGCTGTCTGTGTTTGAATATTCTTCATCATAATTGGCCGGCGACCATCTTTCGAGACGTTACGCCAATGGGAAGGGAGATCTATAGACGGCGTGTCCGAGTTTCCACATCCAAGGTAAACCGTGTGAGCTCGAAAGATTGTTTCCCTAGAGAGTTGAGGGGGACGCCACCGTTTTGGTAGGCGGAGAATACGTACCTCGCTCATGGATAGCAGTATGCTCCCACCACCTCGACATTCCTACACATTATATGGTCATTAGTGGCTCCCGATTACTCGTGGGGACGCTATAAAAAGTATACGATGATAGACTGTACATCCGATTAACGAGTTAATTGCGCTTCTGCTCCTCCTCCTCGACTTTTGTTGTCAATTCGACGATGAGTCATGGATCATGTACAGGCCCCTTGATGATACTATGACGTCCTACTCCAAATGGGAGGCTCTCACATCATGGGTTGATAGATTCACTGACAAGCTATGTAAGTTGGCGTTTCCGATAGTCATCGTTGGTCACTATGGTGAAAATAGGCATACCATTTTTGGGCGAGGACAACGATAGGACATGTATTGTACCGCGAGATGGCACAGCCGCCGACGAGCTCAAACTACCGTACAAATGGGAAGTCATCTATTGGCTCAAGTAGGGAACATGTGTCAGTGGAGAACACTGATGCCTATGAATGCGTTGAATGGCAGGTACACTGGAGCGGTCGCTATAGCCTTCTCTCTGATTTTGACAGCAGTACTAGTGGACGACATGCACCACATCGAAGAGAACAGTATGACATTTAAAGGACTTCCGGGCCAGGTTGGGGAGAAAATCATCACTATTCCGGTGAGAAAGACATGGCTAACTCCACAGCTACGGCAGAGATTTCATTCAGAGATCATCAGGAGGCTGGGATACTTTTCGGTTCGATTCTGTCAGTGACCAAATATGCTCGAACACCGTAGGCACGCTCCCTACCTCGAGAACACCGACAACAGAGATGTTGTAAGTCGCTGTCGCCTTCTTCTCAATCTACGTGCACACTCGCGGGCGTGACATTCAAGTGATTGGGGAGTACTCGACAGTTATATGATTTGAATCTTATCCATCTGAGGCTAGCGAGTTATAGGCTCATCTCTGTACTGGCTCGAACGATCTTCCTGTATTCGTTGTACTACACTTCTGCACTGTTAGCCCAACAGTTGAAAGCTCTGATGATCAGCGAGTAGGAAAGAATATTATTAGCCTATACAAGTTTCGTGTCATAAGGAATCTTTGCTGAATCTAGATAGTGCACCTCCAAGTTGGGACTATGCAGGTATAGCGATCTTGCCGCATGCGAGTCGAACCACAAAACCTGCGGGGAAGAGAGGCATCATGACTCATTGAGTCGGTTGGCTCTCAGCCTCTTCGACCTAGGACTAGCTGGAACTGACACTAACAGTGATTTGGGCAGCGAAACCTTCGCGAGTGTAAGCAAGTTCGTCACATCGCCTCGGCTGGGGGGAAAGCCGTTTTTTTCCAGTTGGCCTTCGTCTCGAACATAAGCAGAGTGCTCGACATCATGGCTCTGGTGGCGCATGGACTGGCATTCGCGATCTTGGTAGGAGTCCCAGAACAGGAGATTCGTTGACTTTGCCTTGCAGATTATCGTTCGTCGTAGCCCTCGAACTTTACTTTTGCATAAGAATTCCAGAGGGAGCATCTGGGTATACATCACTGACTACTCTCCTAACTGGTAAGTGCTGTAGATGAGAAGTATTCCTGTGTAGTGTTACACTACTAGTGTAGGATGTGTTAGTATACTACCGTTGTGGCAATGAGTTGATCTTGAACTCGAATGAGTGGCAAGTATTCCCTTGAAATTCGCACTGCTCTCAGGTTGGTGCTCTTCGCCGGAGTCGCGCTGCTAGTCTCGAATGGTCTGCGAGCATCTTTCCGCCACTCCCTCGCTTCACACGTTGCCGCCTATGCGATCCATTGTCACAGCTCTCCAGGCGACCCCCTCACAGCAGCGTTTCTCCCCCAGGGGTAAACCTGGCACTAGTTCTGACGGAGATTCCTCTTTTTAGAGATAAGCCGGCGAATCTAAACGCCATGGTGGTCTTCGGGAAGTACGTACACTCATCAAGCAGCAGCGGGCTGAGTATGCAATTACTATACGTCGTCATCCTCATAGACGTCTTGGCTGCAGTACTCGTCATATGGTAAGGCCATCTGAAGTCATGGAGGAATGACAATAGCACACTACTAAAGTGTCACTGTCATTTCTTCATGTTTTCGCTACAATCCTTTCGTGGCTCGCCGTATTCATTCACGATGAATCGATATCAATGGCATGAGCGAGCTTGGTCCTGTTGCACGGTGATGTTTTCCGTACCTCGCGACTGTTATCTGTCGATCGCTTAGAGAGTCCCTCAAAGGGGTGGTAAGGAGTGTAACCTGTTCGATGTTACTTTTCAGGGCTGGTAGTCGTGGAGCCTATAGCAGCAGCAGAACGCGTCTCACCAATTCCCAACTCGACCGACTGCCTTTCTATTCTAAGATTTGGAATGTGTGGCTGAGCTTCATCTTTTTCATATTTGCGATGGCTTGCACAACTGCATCTGGGTGAGTCTCAGAAAGGATTCATCAACGATGACAAGTTAGACAGTTTTTTCGAAAAGTACTGGAACCGAGAATCGAACTCGGGACCTACTGCGTGTTAGGCAGTCGTCATAACCAACTAGACCATTCCAGCTTATATTTATAAGTTTTTGTACCCACCGACTGTAGATACTCTGTTCGGCGCCGTGGGTACCTTCTCAACGTAGAATTCTGGAGTATCGATCGGCCAACTGGACGAGCTGACCTCGACGATATCCTCCTCAATCACTTGGGATATTCCTACGCCTCCTTCGATGTAAGGCTCTGGCTAAAAATCCCACTAGGTGTTGGTCGGTGGTTGATACATGACTGCCTCCTTCCTCGCCGGCCCATCACGAACAATCTCAAAACGATAGCTCCCTGTTGCTCACCACCATGATGATTATTCAATTTGTATTCAGGTTGCCGACTTCGCCACCGTTATCGCCTTGTTGATAGCCTTCCTAGTGTGGCTCGTAACTCCAGATAAGACTAGATTCCTATCAAAGTACCTACAGCTTGTCGGTCTAGGGTATCTCTTAAGAGCTATCATCATGGTAGAAAGTCATATAAGATCGGCCTAGCCGCTGACGATCTCATTTCAGCCATGGACTGTCCTACCCGCCCCCTTCAGCGTCTTGCAATTCCCACAGTGCTTCGAGACACCTGGAAATAAGATATTCGGCGATATCATCACCCTTATATTCTGCAACGATATGATGTAAGCTACTCACTAGGGCTCCACGTTGGGCTTCACTGGCTTGAAGCCAGTGGCTACACGTTATAAGCGGAGTTGTCAACCCCCATGGTCATGATGTTAGGTACTCTGGACACGCAGCTTTCATTTGCATCCCGATATTCATCGCCTTTGCCTTTGTCGAATACGGACCCATCAAGCGGAAAGCCTTGGCATGGTTGATGCTCCTTGGAGTCGCTGTGCCCTGTGTATTTCTAATTGTCATTGCTCGCGGGCATTACTCTATTGATGTAACTCAATCGTAGTTGTTATTCTTGTTTGCATGTCGTTCATTGTATAGATTCTCGTGAGTGTAGTAGTGAGCTCGTGTTTCGTGCTGCTCAACATTCCAGCTTGGAAGCTGCTATTTGACTATGGAAAAGGTGCACCCAACCGGTTCGGGAAGGTACGCCGAGCACACGCCACGAGTGGCGAGACAAGTGAGCTTGTCAGGTATCTGACCTCCTCGCCGAGGCATACGACTGTTTTTCGGACGACGATTCCAACAGCACCACCGCCTTTTTGGATGATAAAGACGTTGAAGAGGAGCCAGATTGGATATCGATCGAAAAAAAGATATCTGATCTCAGTGACAAAGTCAAGCTCAAGTTGAGTCCATGATCCTCCTACCATGTTCCTGTCTGTGCACTTGTCCTTCCACACGTTTGCGCATTGGATTTGTAACAAACCTCGGCGGGTCAATTGGAGAAGTCGTCATCGCAGGCCCCTTATTGAGGAGCATTTGCTCCAGCAGCATGTCCGAATCAAAATGGGAGACTCTCGTGGCATGGACTGATAACATAACAGACAAACTCTGTGAGAGCATTTAAGCACCTACGACTCGAATTCACAAGTCTGTGATAGGCTTGCCATTCCTGGGTCCTGACATTCGGAGCAACCCTCGGACTTTCATCATACCTCGTGATAAGAATGACGATGGTCACTTGGGATTGTCATACAAATGGACTGTTATCTACGGCTTGGGGTAAGTGCTCCAATGTCTAGAGAGTCCACAGACTTCGAGCGTAGTGGGAAAGAACATCCTTGTGAAGAACTGCACAGGTTGATCACAATGAGAAATTGTGCGGATATTTGGCTATCCTATTGTGGGTCTTCATACACTCCTACCCTTGGTCGGGTGTTAATTTCGTAATGTAGTGAGAACCAAGCATTATATTCTCAACGTGGCTTAGAAAGTCTGCCCTTTGGATCTCTGCATGCTGGCAGATACATTATGGCGGTCTTCGTCTCGCTGGCATTATTAACGACCTCGGTTATCGTGGATGATATACACACTATTAAGGGAGGCTCAATGACGTTTCAGGGGCTTGCTGGCCAGACCAAGCCGTTAACCATCCGTATTCCCGTGAGAAACGCTACCCGGCGATCATTGCGGTTACCACATTTCCTCCACTTCTAGGCCTCACATGGCGGCTGGCAGAGTTTGAGCTATAACTCGTTCGAGGATGGTCTCATTTGTCCTTTGAATAGTGGACCCGAGAGTCGGCCGACTCTGGCAAAGTAGGTTGACCGGACTACACCATCACCGTTGTTTACTGGCGCTACTGACCAGTCGTACATCTTCTCCCCATTTTATTCGTTTGTCTTGAGGTACTCTACTCTCGCCCAATGCGAGGTCGACGGTCAGCAGTGTGCCAAAGACCGCAAGGGTGACTCGGTCAGCGGAATCGCCCTCAGCTTGTCGGAGTTGGGCTTGGCCCAGGTCCAGACTAACAGTGGACTCGGTGTAGAAACCCTAACAGATGTACGTTCTCGGTCTGTCGAGTAGTGTGAGAACGGCTCCTTCTTAGTTCTCCAACGTATCGTTCCTCAATCGGGTGCTGGTGATTACCGCCTTAACCTGTCATGGACTAGCATTCGTGTTGCTGGTAAGCTAATTTTTACTCCATTTACATTTCCTCTTACATTTACAGCCAAATTTTACACTACTCATTGTGCTCATAGGGCTTATCATTACTATCTTTCCATCATTGACTTATCCATTGTGACTCGATCAGAGTCCTAACCCTTCCGTCTTGTTCAGATCGCAATGCGGCGTCCACCCCGATCGCTACTCCTGCACCGGAGTAAGAACACTTCTTTCCTCGATTTCACCTTGGACTACGGTCCACAATGGTAGGCCAGACTGAGTCAAGGTGCACTGCATCGCAACTTCAGGTTAATCATGCTTGGCGGCGTGTTACTCTTCCTGTCCAGCGCTCTGGCGACCTCCTTTCGTCATGATCTCACATCGCATATCGCTGCATATGCAGTAGCTTGCCATACATCTCCAGGAGATCCTATACGCACTGCCTTCAATCCAGGGAAGTGAGGAGCCTCTCTTCGTGCCCGAGTCATCTCAGTCGGTATCTCTCTCAGTAGCAACCCTTCGAACCTCGACGCGATGTTGGTATTTGCCGAGTATGTCCATGAATCGGGTGGTGCGGGCATCAGCATCACTTTGACCACTTTGGTCGTCTACGTTGATCTATTCGCTTCCATTGCAGTTATTTGGTGAGAGAAGCTTTAGCTAGTAGTGTGTGTCTAATATCCATGCTCAGGGTTGGCACTCGTGGAGCTTACCATAAAGATCGAGCCAAACTGACCGACGCTCAGCTCAGCCGTTTACCATTCTATTCCAAGATCTGGCACATAGCCCTCAGCCTCACCTTTTTGGTTTTCTCTCTGGCATCTACGTGGTTTGCTGGGTGAGATAGAGGTTACTAATATTTGATGGTATATGTTCTTACGTCACCTCTCGCTTATCTGAAACCGTTAACAAAAGCAGGGAAGGCTGATAAGATGTGTCCTCTTAATGGTGGTAGATACTGGACTCGAGTGAGAGGATTCCCCTTGAACGAGCGTTTCTGGAGTATTGACCGTCCCCTTGGGCGTGCAGATCTGGACGATATAGTATTGAATCATCTTTCAATCACATATGCCTCCTATGAGGTATCGTTGGCCGAAAGCTCTCTAGTGCCATATCAAAATGCTCAGGTGGCGGACTTCGCTACGGGTATCTGGGCACTGGTTGGCTTCTTATTATGGTTGGTCACTCCTGATAAGACAAGATTTCTGTCTAAGTATGCACAGCTACTGGGTTTCGCTTATTTTCTACGAGCTCTCATTGTGGTGAGTGTATACTTAGAGAAAGTCGTATAAGATTTTCGTATGTTTTCAGCCATGGACGGTATTACCCGTGCCAACAAGTATAACCCAAATCCCCATGTGTTATAGAAAACCCAAAGGTGCTCTCTTCGGAGACATCATTACAGCGGTCTATTGCAATGATATGATGTAAGATCTCTCAACCTCGTTGGCTTAATCGCATCCCTCCGAGGTACTCCGGCCACGCGGCGTTCATCTCGTTACCGTGTTTCATCGCTATCGCATTCATAGTGTATGGTCCTGTACGGCGCAAGGGCCTTGCCAGCTGCGTGTTGTTGCTCGGGGTCATCCCTTCGGTCGCTATCGTGGTCATATCACGTGCTCATTACACCATGGACGTGAGTCATTCATTTCATCCAAGTGACCAGGACCGCGGCGGTCAGATACTGGTGAGTCTGTTGGTGACTATCTCACTGACTTTACTCAACACTCCGGCATGGAAGCTGTTATTCAACTATGGCAACAATCCAAGAAAGAGTGCACATGATGTAGCCCGCATTCGCTTTCATCATCACCTGAATATCGCTCATATACGTGTAGGTTAGCAAGTTGTTAGACGAGTGCAATGATTACCTTGAACAGCAAGTTGATTTGGAGAGTACGGGGCTACTCAGTGATGTGCCCCCACCCGACTGGACTACCGTACAGAGAAAGATATCAATGCTCAGCGATAAGCTCTCCCAACAGGAGCAATAATGCGACAATTTGTTGATTATAAAAAAGATGATAATATTGTTATCATGTCCCCTGCTCTAGTGTATGCTCATGTTAAATGTGAAGGTATTGACGTCAACTGTTCGTGTGATCTGAGTTATATGTTCGCACTCACTTAACCCTGTCTGAGGAAATGCCGCACTCACTTAAGCCTGTCTGAGGAAATGCTGCCTCATCCTCGCCCATGTGTATCACTACGAATGTTGTAGTTCTAAGGCATTCACGTACGTGGCCACTTGCTGGCGAGCGTACGATTGTAATGATTTGGGAGTCTCCCCAGAATGCGCAAATGTCTTCATGTGACACGCAAGTTAATTGCAAAAATGTTAGAGCCAGGTACTATCAACATGAATGAGGAAGCGTATGTGCTTGGAGCCACACCCATTCAATAGGTGTATCAGTTGTGTTGCTTAGCACACTATAGCACAGACATTCATCCGCTAGTTGATAGGAACTTGTCCATCGAACTATCACGTTGGTAATCATTATCCACCACCAAGGAATTTCACCATCACGGATTCTCACACGATGGGGGGCATAATACTTTCTCACTCAGTCCCATTACACCGGTGAACTTCACTGCGAAGTATGTTATCACTAACCAGTGCCTGTACCGTTGTGACAATCTAGCAGTAGCACCGCCATTGTGAAGTGTCCCCTCAAGTCAAGCGAGAAAGCTCCCGCATCCGTAGGGATACTGAATTCCATGAGGTTCGATGATTCGAAGCTACAGACGAAGCTACAGACACGAGCTACTTCACAGCTTGTCCGAGTACTAAGGACCTTAGCTGCCACAAGAGGCAACTTCGGTAAGCATACACGGTTCCATATGGCACAGTTGGGAAATGCACAAGTAACCTAGAGTAGATACCATGCGAGCGTTAAAGTGCCGTTATACATCAGTCTCAGCGTTCGAAATAAATGAAAAAAGGTCACAACCGTAGAGAACTCTCACTACCAATCTATTCCACAGCTTATCCGAGTACTAAGGACCTTGGCTGCCACAGGAGGCAACTTCGGTAAGCATACACGGTTCCATATGGCACAGTTGGGAAATGCACAAGTACCCTAGAGTAGGTACCATGCGAGCGTTAAAGTGCCGCAACCCAGTACCACAGATCGGATCGAATAAAACAAGCGCTAGGGTCAACCAAAAAACCAGATACGCCATAGAATGACGTAGTGTGGAGAAATGGTCCAAGAAACAATTATCACATCAGACTGACGTGCAAAAAAGTGGTCTCGTCAGGAGTCTGAGACTTGGGTATAGCGATTTTTTCAGTCATCATGTGCTGTGAAAGGCATTAAAGAGTCAGAAAACGACGCGGTTTCACCCCATATGAATAGTCGGAAGACATGGGTTAGCAATAAGCGTTGAATCATCACTCTACAGGCATTTATTGCCTCAGAGAAATCCGCTAAATTTTCATCTCCACACTAAACTCCTAGGAGTTCGCGTCAGAGTGTGTAACAAAGATGGCTCATCAAAGACATTATTGCACTTCTTTGGGTCAGATCTGTTGAGCTTGACATAATAGATTAAGGTATCCCCACGGCTGAGTAAGATCAGCGGGAAAATCTAATCATCATTCCCAGAAGGCAAATCATTAACGATAAATGTGATACGACTCTCACTAATACACGCTTGTGATAATCGATCACAGAATCGATACCGTAACATAGCTTAGTGTGAGCGGAGCGAAGTAGAATTCGAATTAAGATTTTAGTTGATTGTTTCATCATCCGAAACATCCAAAAAATCTAACAAATTATCGTTGCTGCATTGGTGGTCCATAAGTTCTTTGACCTGAGAACCCACTATGTGGATGCTCTTCGCCCCCATTCGTTAACTCGGGGTGATCATAGCTCTACTCAAACCCTGTGGATTGAAGGTGGCCTCCACTGAGCTTAGAACTGTTCATGCGATCGTTGGTTCATGTGGAGATGATATCATCAATTTGAGGCATCTCACCTTTCCAGGGCGGATTCTAAATCTATTAGCCAAAGCATCTCCGCGCCGTACTCTTCAAAGTCCATGACTAGGCTTCCTATTTGAGCAGCTTGCCATGCGACTGGCTTAGTTGGCTTTTCGATTTCATTTTGATGATCGAAATCTTACGTACACTCTGCAGTGTTTGGTTGATGCCTCCATCACTGCTCTCTCGAATCGGCTATCCCGTCGACTTTACCCTTTAGTTTGCCAGATTTTCATGCCCGTAGTACCTAGCGTCTCTACGTATGCTGGACCTGACTTCACGAGAGCGGAATCCCTGCATGTTTCTAAACTCTATGTGTGCCAAGATGAACGAAAATGCTTCCCTTTTATGGACTATCTACTGTGGAGGGTGATCGATTCGGGCTTTGAATGTGCTATGGGAAGGATTTGTCTATCGACCGATATATTTTACCAATTTCCGGCGAAAGTTTGACGATTCCATAGCCATGAATTACTATGTCATATGCGAGTTGGACAAGAAGCATACAATTTTGACATATGAATTCTCATTAGTTGTGGTAGTCAGTAATATGAGTAGTTTCTCGAGCCGAATGAGCTCTCATGCGCAAGTCTGGGCATTCATTGAAACGTTGTCACTTCAAGATAGGCGCTCATCAATCTTGCCAGTGTATTGGTAAGCTGGACTGTGAGACTTCATAAACTACGTGTGCTCCAATCAAGCCTGGACTCAGCCTTGGCATCCTCTGCACTTACATATTCGACACGTGTTTAAGCTGCTTGTTACATTGCAACAGGCTATGCCATCCCAACATCAATCTTAGTAAGATTAATATCTTCGGGTGGGGCAGCTATGCCATCCCAACATCAATTTTAGTGAAATTAATATATTCGGGTGGGGCAGCTATGCCATTCCAACATCAATCTTAGTAAAATTAATATATTTGGGTGGGGCGGCTATGCCATCTCAACATCAAATTTAGTAAAATTAATATCTTCGGGTGGGGCAGCTATGCCATCCCAACATCGATTTTAGTGAAATTAATATATTCGGGTGGGGCAGCTATGCCATTCCAACATCAATCTTAGTGAAATTAATATATTCGGGTGGGGCAGCTATGCCATTCCAACATCAATCTTTAGTGAAATTAATATATTCGGGTGGGGCAGCTATGCCATTCCAACATCAATCTTAGTGAAATTAATATATTCGGGTGGGGCGGCTATGCCATCCCAACATCAATTTTAGTAAAATTAATATCTTCGGGTGGGGCAGCTATGCCGTCCCAACATCGATTTTAGTGAAATTAATATATTCGGGTGGGGCAGCTATGCCATTCCAACATCAATCTTAGTGAAATTAATATATTCGGGTGGGGCAGCTATGCCATTCCAACATCAATCTTAGTGAAATTAATATATTCGCGTGGGGCAGCTATGCCATTCCAACATCAATCTTAGTGAAATTAATATATTCGGGTGGGGCGGCTATGCCATCCCAACATCAATTTTAGTGAAATTAATATATTCGGGTGGGGCAGCTATGCCATTCCAACATCAATCTTAGTAAAATTGATATCGTCGGGTCGGGCGACTATGCCACCCCAGGATATTCCCTTTAGCACAATGAATCCCGCGGGTGTGTGTGGTAGTTAGATCGACTTCATCGGCACTGAGTGGCATAGCCGAGATTGATCCCAGTATAAGCGTGCTAGGCTGCCTCTATACGTGAGAGGCGTTATATTGCCATGTTAAGTTTTTTCTATTGCCATTGGAAATTGGAACGGTTCGTCACATCACGTATCTCGTTACCTTGTCTTGTGGAACTGGTCATCAAATGAGTCGTGTTGACTTGTATTGATCTCGGAAGCACCCAAATCGATTGCCACCTCTGTAGTTTTTCATCGACCAGGATAACATGGCGAGTTCAACAGAGATTCAGCCGTCCCCGTCTGGAGGATTGTTTGCAAGAGTTACACGTGGAAAGCACTCGGGGAAGCAGCCACAGCCTGAGCCTTCTTGCACCTTCCGTGCGCTCGAAATTGAGCATCTCTTTCGGGATTGGCCATTGGGGCACTCATCAGATGTGAGCTCCGATAAATGGGATACTCTGGAAGCCAAGTCGATTGTCACTTCGTATTATGATATCTTTCTAAGCCATGCTTGGGAGGCTGGCAGTTTTCCTAAAGCTGTTTCTCTCGGTTTACGTTACAACTCGGAGGGAGCAGTCATCATTGGCATACTGGAATGTTGTGTCCTTCACCAGTGGTGCGAGCTGCCAGCACATCTAGCTCTTACCATCTCATGTATTACGTATCTATTCTGTTTACGGTGGGGTCCTGTGCGTGGCAGGGTCTTCCTCGATCGTTGTTGTATACCCCAGGACGATCCCGACAAGAAGGCAAACTGCTTGCTGATCATGCCTGAGTACCTTGCTAGTTCGAGGAAGCTGATCGCGATGTGGGACGAAGCCTATCAGTCCCGACTGTGGTGCATTTTTGAGCTCGCTGTTTTCGTGAAACAACATGGGATTGAGAATATCGAAGTATGGACATTGCAGAGTATTGAGTTCACCGCCTTTTTCTTCTTTGCATCATACCTCTTCTGGGTCGGCCACATTGCGGCGGAGGCTCATGAATCGGTTTCCATGGCCGTTGACTTCATTTTTTCTTCCGCTCATGCATCGTATATTTCCTTTCGCTTTCTCCCTTCTGTGAAGCGATACTTGGAACATGGAATAGCCCTGAAAGTTAAGAGGCTTCGTTGTTCATTAGCATCTGACCGTGATGTCTTGCTTACTCATATCCAACATTTACACGGTAGTTATCGCAACTTCGACGAACAGGTAACGCCGCTGGTGAAGGCTCTTGTCTTCAACTTGAGAGGTGCCCCATTTGCCCTGAGACTCACTATGGCAGCGATATTGCCTTCCACGTTGGCTATGATCATCACTGGTCGTCTCCTAACCGCAATCCTTGTGGGAGTCTTCCCCAATCTTATATGTTTTACAGTAGTCCTCATGCATTCGCGTTACGAATGTGTGCCCTTTTCCTCTCGAGACAGTATCGAGCTATATAGGGTCTTCATGTGTGTCTTAGCCGCCGTCTTTGGAGCTGTCTCACTTTGTCTCACTCGTACATACGAGTCCTTTTGTCATGATGACTTGCATCTTCTGCTCATCCCTGTGCAGATTGCCGTCAGTATTGTCCTTATATCGGCGATCACTCGTCTTACGTTTGCTCCCAAATAAGTATGTCTAACTGTATCATACTCATTATCGTAAAGCTTCAGTGATTTGACCGATGATGTTACACGCTGTTTCGTTCTCTTGCATGATCCGTACCGAATCCGGGGTAGTTATCGTTGTTTTAGCTGTGTCTCCGTTATCATTATGGTGAAGGATACCTCATTGTCGAAGCGTCAACTGGTGGAGGTCCTGCATACAGCCAAGACTAATAGGGAGAAAAATCGTGCTGCAAAACTACTGAAAAAGTGAGAGAGATTTCCCTGTGCGTGGACCACCACACCGAATCTGGCCAGGTTCGATCCTCAGCCACACTTCGAATATGATGAAGAGGCTACTAAACAGAACATCAGGCTGAAGAAGTCGGATAGGCTTTTACAGTAAGGATCATGGACGCATAACTTTATCTTCATAAATTGTGATCACTCTTGCAGTTACATGTGTTATCGATGCGATCGAGTGAGGCAGTGCCTAGCTAAGGTAACTTGGGGTTCTACTCCGCGTTAGACCGTCTATTGGAAGAATTGTTTACTATCAGGGCTCCTTCACGACGAGCAAAGGAGTGAAGACTATCTGTCCGGGTTGTTACAATAACCTTTTATCCCAGGCAGAGGTAGTAGCATATTTGATCTACGTAGTTTCTCAGAATCAGCACCTATTCTCGTAGGTATCACAACTTCGTGCGCATCATCAGAAGTTAGGGCTCACGCCGAAGGTGCTGTAAAAGTGTAATTAGTCGGAAACCGACGTCCAGTAATTCCCTATGGGCTGCCCCGAAAGAGCGCCGTAAATACTTGATAGTCTATACAGAGAGGATGCTGATAGATACTCGAAAGAGTGCTGCGTTTAGTATTGGTAGAGAGGTAGACATTTGTGTTCGCAGCCTTGAGTTTTCGTTCGTACAATGTCTCAAGTTTACGAAGGCTTCAACATACATGCGCAGTTGGACCATCTCCATGTAATAGGGAAGGAGGCCTACCTCACTTACAACATATTTCGGTGCTTAGATGCGGTATCCCGGAACTGGCCACGCTGATATGGGCCGTTATGAGTGGGCAACGACCATCCATAGGTAGCGCGATCGACAGCTCTCATCGTGAAATCATGTGTATAGGGATACTATGGCATCCCATGTTGGACATCAGTCGAGGTTGGCATATATCGCTATTTGTGAGAACGAACCAATCGCTAGAGTGCGGTACAACTGCCTTATGGTGAGTGATTTGCTCAGAGGGGACTCCAGGTCGGACAGAGCTGATGATCTCTGCGTTTTAGAGTATGCTCCATCCGATAACTAGGCCGGCTACCAAGGAGGAGCGAGAGAAAATGGGAAACTGAGTGACGAGATGGCGCCATCCCAGATAGACCAACATTGACGTAATATTGAATAGTAGCCTTCTCTTACTGACGAGAGCTTTGCGTTGTCATAGTATCACGATGGGGATTCCCTAGTTTCCGTATAGCAGTTATTGTATCACTTTCTTTCCTTTCCCTAAACCGTGTTGATTCCTCGATTGCCCATCCTTCTACTCCGACCTAGGACTCGGGATTCGGAACTATCGGTGTCAGAAGGCCTCAACACTGAAATGGCTTCCTGGATTCAATCCTCTCTGGTGTTGCCAACACCGTGTTGGACTGCGTGTTTGCGGAGTCGGTGGGTTTCTGGGTCTCAGGCTCGGAAGTGTTCATAAAGTAGAAGGTCAATAACTCGTCTGCAGCAATTCGAAATAGCATAGACCGAATTGCTATAGCGGGGAAATGATATATTCTCTCTTCGATGAGCCAAGCCGGTTGACGAGTCACCATCGCAGTGCTCTCGGCAGGACCATTGCTGGAAGTGGGTCCTCTCTCCACGCCATTAGGTTATATCCTGAGTGTTATGTATGAGGGTTTTCGATACCAATAGTTGAGCTTGTGTAATACTGTGGATCTCAGATGATTCTTGTGCCCACGTTTCCAAGAAGCCAGGCTTGATTCCGTCTGTTTTTGTCAACAGATCTAACCCGTTTTAATCGATGTCGTATGAAAGGCCCCATGATAAATCGAGTCATTAGTTTTACTCGTATCCATGACTCGCTTCACGAATGCCTGATTTTGTGAGTCCTCCCTCCATCTCTGAACACCATATTGTAGATCTCCTGCTGGCCAACAGCGGTCTGCGGTTTTTGATAGCAGCTTTTTTGGGCCCTACAGAATCCACTAAGGGATTGTTTGCAACATGTTGGCAGCTGTGCGACATTAATCCTATAACCTCCCGTGCTCCGGCCGAGGTAGGCTACCAATGGTGTCGATGTTGATGGCAGCCTTCAAAATCTATTTCTTAGACCTTCACCCGCAACGCACTCATACTGTGGCCTGCAAAAAAAGACGAGTCCCCAGACTGCGATGTATGTGGTCTTGCTGCTGCGCCTGATGGCGTTGCCACGCTCGACATTCTCTTTATCATTTGCTTACATGATCCACAAGTACGTTAACAAACAGGTTAAAAGCCTTCTCATTGTAGTCATGAAGGGCTCACTGTTTCAGTTCTTGCGATCTCGGAATACATCGGAGGATACTCCTCTGCTTGTTGCTAGTAAGTACTCCCGAGTTCGAACCATTCGGCTCATCCTTCTACTGGAAAGGAAGCTTTTAAGGGACAATGGAGGAGCGAGAGGCAGACCTCTTGTGCAAGATGTTGATAACTGCGGGTGAGATTTGCCGTGATCGGCCGCTTTAGAGTATTAATTCCTTCCTATACTCCCATCACATATGCACCACATCCCTTGGCGACATTCTTGTTTTAGTCGTAATGCCCTTCATCTCTGCCCTGATGCTGCATGCATACGAGTGCTTCTAGATGCCGGATGCAATGTCTTCCTATTGGACGACCTCCAACGTTTACCCATTACTTGGGCTCAGCGTAGAGGAGCAGACCCAGAGGTGAACATCTCTCAATGCTCTGGCTTCACGCGAGTTGGCGAATATCTGTTCGTCTCCCTGGTCTTTGTTCAGGTTATGGAGTTGCTGTCCGATGCCATGAAAAAGCATCCCAAGAATCGAGAATTCGGATGTCTACCATTTGACAGCTGTACACTGCAATGATCACTGTCGTTTATAGATTAGTATCCTCGCCATCATATGAGCTTACTGATGTTGCGTTAATCGTTGTTGAGATATAAGTAACCCAGAATAGTCAATAGTATCGGCGAGCGCGAGACCAGTACGACTCGAGTGATTGGCAATGTGCGTATCATGTCGCACTTGACAGCATTTATAACCGGAGTGCTTCTAGATCGATCGACTGGTCTGTAGCAGCGCAGCAAGTCTCAGACACCCGAATAGAAGAATAAGCTCTCGGGCTTAACTGCGATAAACCTAGTGTCGTTCCGTTCTCGAGTGTGGAAACTTTTACTAGGAAGAGTGTGATGATTCGGCCGTCAAATTCAGTATGGAATTGCATGAACTGACAATTCCTTCGTGTGGCAGATTGGCAACATTCACTGTCCTAAACACCTTGTATGATTACTGCAGAGGTAGTAATTTTAACTCTAGGGACAGCGTGTCCGACTGGTTTCAGAGGTGGACCAGAAGTCTACGGGGCTCTGTCCGCGCAGATTCGAATTCTGTCACTTGGTTATTGGAACGTCTGCCCGTCTTGCCTCATCAGCCGAAGCACCGCCTAATGAACTGTAATACTTCAATATCTTTCATAGTCTGCCTCCCTTGGCGAGCCCGTGGCGTGGACACTCAAGTTCCAGCGAACTAAGCGATGATGAGCGATCCTAGAGAAGGAATATGAGAACAGCTAGCTTATGGGTAGACGCCGTAAACAGCGTGTCCGAGTGGTTAAGGAGGTGGACTCGAAATCCACTGGGCTCTGCCCGCGCAGGTTCGAATCCTGCCGCTGTCGGATACATACTCGAAAAAGTTTTCTTTTAGCACCTGAAAGAAAGCCACTTACCCCACTCCACGGTGTTTGAAGCGTCTGCCCATCTAGCCTCATTAGCCGAAGCGCCATGACCAGCTTCCGGCCGATTGATATCTGCAAATTTTCTCTCCTTCAGAGCTTCAAAACAGTGGGATACTTGCATGAAATAGCATTCATTTCGGAAGTGCTCTGCTCGCCTCCTACACAATTGAACCCCAAGGTCCTCCCAATAGCAGAACGTCCCCCTAAATAGTCAGGATACAACACAGAATGATGCGTCATGTGTTCTTACGTAATTGTATGAGTTGACGAAGATTTGTGTACTGTCGAGTGCGCGCCGTACTGTCCCGCCCAGCGCTGGCACGCATGTACATATCACGCTTGTGTTGATAACAATGATTATCTACGTAACTTCTAGACAACGTCCACAATTGGATCAGTTGCGCTCAGTTGTCCATTTGCTCCACAACTCATCAACAGATTCCAAGTACAATCGATTAGGAGGGCGCGCGCTATTGACCAGCGCATGATCTACTCGGGGTCGGAGCGATCAACCAAGGTTACTAGGGGAAATTTCTATCGCCTCAGCTATTACTTCATAACCTTTGACCGCTACCACCGGATCCAACAGCATGCACTTCGCAATCCTACTGTCTGTTATTGCTGGTAAAGCAACCCTCAACGAGACCATGCAGGCTTTCAACCGGCCGCTTCTCCTTCAGGCGCCGTTGCCGTTGAGGCTGCCCTCATGCAGACTGAGGGCCGCCACCATCATCAGCATCACAACTTCAGACACACTCGTCACATTGACGTTGATGACGACGATGATAAGGGATCCTCCATCTCCGGGGGCAAAAAAGATGTGAGTCGCCCGAAGGGTCTTATTGCTTGGAGTTCAAAAACTCTACGGGAAATAGCCTTGACAATGGACCTCCCTGTATGCAGTTCTCAATTCGTATTCCGGTCTGATCAATGTACCGCATGCTCAGGCCGATGCGGTGATGGCTGAGTTGAGCGCTAAGACGAGGAAGGCCATGGCCGAACTAAAGAAGGACGTGCTCGTAGAAAAGCAAGTCCACGAGCAGTTCGACAAGGAACTCAAGGGTTTGGTGACACCTGGCAGGGTAAAGCTCAGTCGTTGGACTCGTTCGCTTCAGGAACCACTCGAGAAGAACTTAAATGAGGCGGAAAGCGGCTCTGAAAAAGATGATGATGACGGCGGTGATGATGATGATGACGGCGGCTCGTTCATTCAAGAGGGCACAAAGAGCGACGATGCCGACGATAAGTTCATTGCTACTCTCGATTCCATCATGAAAAAAGATGAACTAAGCTCTTCTGAGTATGAGAAGGGCCTCGACGACTGGTATACTGGTTTCAAAAAGGAGCTGATCAGCTTCGCTAAGAGCGATGATGGAGACCATCAGCCGGACGACCACGACGACAAAATTGATGATCTCTCGCTGGCCCAGATTGGGGCTAAGACTACCGTTAAGAGAATCAAGTGCTCATATGATGACGATGAGGTCAGCAACTTACCTTCACCAGGGCCGTTGTGAGCAATTGGTGTGTTGTAGGATTCCCTGTTGCAGAAGGCTCAAGGGTCGGGCGAAGACAACGAGGCTCAGTTCAAGGCTGTAAGATCCTGGCTCGAGTCTAGTGTCTGGAGCTGATGTCGATTCTCTTTAGGAAGTCGATGAAGAGGAAAATGGTGAGGAGAGGAAGAAACGATGCGAACACAATACCAAATTCGGCATTGTAAGGCTCTCCGGGCTTCGATCATATAAGACGAATTGCACGCATGTTCAGGAGCAGAACGATGAGTGAAGCCGTGTTCGCCGATGCGAATCGTACTGCATGTAAATACTCGTCGTGGCTAGCTTGGACAGAGTTATGTTTTCATGCATATTTGACTCCTGGATGAATCGATAGTCGTAGCCATTACCTCTTTCCAAATGCTTCCCGTCGCTATCAAGTTCCCCGGAAGAATTAGTAAGCTCAGTAAGGTTACGACATGCATTGAAACCGTCTTCTTAGTGCAAATAGCCCTTTGGCTCGTCATCATAATCACCACCAAAGCCGACATGGAGTTCCCCAACTCTGACACTCATGAGGGAAAGCATGCCCATAAGGTGTGTCTGCGTGCTCATCGTGGTCTATTCTGGACGCACCCTTCTACAGCATTCAAGTCACCATCACATCAAACATGGTTATAAGGGCAAGCAACCCAACACGGATACTAAAGTCCATACCGCGGGTGTAAGTGGCCGTATGAGCGCTGATTCCGACGTTCTCGTTGTGAAGGTTGCTCATCACGAACACGCTAACAAGACACATCATCATAGCAGCTCCGTACTGGAACAGGATGCCGCTAGGAGAAGGAGGAGGCTCAGGGACGCACACGTCGATACGAATCAGCAGGTGCAGTAACATGGGCGACTCTGACCCTGCCACTTCTGGGGATGCGTCTTGATGTCTGTCGTGGACGAACAGATATCGGAACCGTCGGTTGAACCCCTCTCGATTGATCACGACGAGGCTGATCTTTTCAACAGCAAGAACGATTTCTTGGACACCAAGGTGGGATCCTATGCGGTATGTACGTGACCGATCTATTAGTCCTTGGAGTGAATATAGTTGTATCAGAAGTGAACGATTGAGGCACCACTGCATGGGCTGATGTGGAGAAACCATGTGTTATTGCTTACTTAGTCCTTCCTTACGGATCCGGACCTGCAACCAATATTCTCCCACTCAGCCGGTCAAGAAAACAAGTGAGCTATCGTATCATGGCAACTCTGTCATCCTTGCATCCTCTACGTTCAGGTCTCACACGGCTGAGAACACTGTGGCGCCACGACAACAGGCGACTATGGACAGCACTGTTACGCCCACCCCTGCCGCTGGACTTGATGAAGGATCTCACACTGGGCGGCTTCAAAAGTGAATTGATCTCTCCCGAGAGCCCAAGCTGTGCTTGGGCCGATCACGGCCGGTCCACTGAGAGGAATGGGGTGACCTCGCGCCTTTCAGGATCGTCCATGCTGGTCTTGCCTTCGTTGGCGTATGCCTATTATTCTTTGGAATTCTGATGACCGTCCATGTTGATTATCGTCGGAAGGTGAGGAGTGCCGTGGTGGCCCATCAGGTCTGAACTGCATCGTGCCAGGTTCTGGACAGCATCAAGTCACAGGGAGCAGCCACGGGCCCTCACTTCAAGAAAGTGTTGAGTGCGTCATGGTTTAAAGTTGGGAATTATATTGGCAGTTCGAAGTCTGGAGAAAGTGAAACGGCTTGAGCATGATATGTGCTCCTTACAGCATCCTGTCAGAACCCATCCTTCCGGTCGTCGTCGTCGACGCAGTCTCGGGTCCCTCTGAAACCAGCGCAGGCGCCTAGATGGGAGGCTCCAACTCGTGATTCCGATGAATGCATGTCATGCAAATAGGTGTAGGTGACCACTCTTAAACAACCTCTTTGGTTACAGTTGAGCAATATAAGAAGTTAAAGGAAGTAGCCCATTCGCTATACGATCGGCGTCGCCCATCGTATAGCGATATTGTCCCGTTCGGCCAGAAATGTGATGGTATTGCAAAGGTCATCGAAGTTCTAACAGGCGTTTTTCTCTCCATCTCCAAGATAGTTCTAAACATGATTAATGCATTCAAATCGGAGCCGTCGGAAGTATTGCTCTGCATCCCTGTTACAGAGAGTGGTGATTGAGATGAGCTCTCCTTGCTCTCGAACGTCATTGCTTTTGCCCCACAAACCAGTCCGCAGAGACCTCGATGAGGTGACCTCGTCCGCAGTAGTAGACTCGTTTCCCTCATAAGAGAGCGTCGGCGAGATCGGAGCGTGAGAAGCTATGACCCGACTCAATGGACTTGATAAGACCTATTGAGTACCTAACCACTGCCTAACAAGAGTCCAGGCTAGAAATATCACTTTTGTACTGTTACTTATACTACCAGTCCATAGTCCGCTGTTCATGTAACTGCATGAAAAAGCGCCACTTGGAGCGGAGTTCCATGTTCACACGTATGTCCCATGGTTGCATGCTAGATTGCCCAAATACGACTGATCAAGTCAGCGACTAACGGTGAGTTAAATCAGCGACCCAGAGATCGCCTTTGAGAGGTGCTGACCTACTCTGGGATCTACTTCGGCCTTGCATAAGGGTCTTCTCCTCCCTTATGCCTCCCATGAGTACTGGTCTCGGAAGCGGGCTGAAGGCCCGCGGCTTTCAATTGACAAAAAAACTATTTCCGGTTGCGCTCCATTGGGACCACCTCCGGCAAAATCGGCGCAATTTTCTTCTGAGGTTTCGGAACGTTTTACGAAGCTTTGCGTGGTGGTCGTCATTGAAGTAGGTTTACTAGCAACTTGGACGGTTGTTGCGTGTCAATGATCCCCTCGATGCTGATCTTCAGCATGGTTTACTGATTATCCTCACTGCTCGTGCTAGCAATGATGATGACCCTTTTCGTAACACGCGATATGCAGTTGAAGATCTTTCCGCGGTTCCATTACTCAGTTTCGTGTTCCGAAATCCTCGTGTATGGGACGAACCGTTCGAGTATTGTTCATCAGAGTTGGATGGACTATTTGAATCTAATGTCATCTTCTTCCAGGCTGAGCCAACTACCAGTAGAGCTGAGTGGTGGTAGTACTTGGGGAACTCGTCCGGAGTATTTCTCAGCGATTATATGGATGCTGTGGCAGCGGTGCATATCCGCTAGTTGAATTCATCTCTATGTAGAGCCTTCTGTAAAGCTTCACCCTCAAAAAAGCATCGTCGTTTGTATTGGTGTTTTCCTCCTCATACGGTGGTGACTCCCAATAGACTGTCGAACCTACAGGATGATTCCCTTAGTTATTTATCTCGGAGGTCTGTTGGGGTTTTCGCGCGCCTGTCAGTAGCCTTCGGTGTGGTTGTGATTACCACTTTCTTAGATGTGAGGTCTATGGGATCTATATCGTCCTCTGATGACGATATAGAGAGTGTAGAAGTGGTGCGGGGAGAGGCGGAGCCGCAAGGACAGCCAAGCGCATCCTCCGGTAGCAAGAAGCGCGCTAGAAGTGAGCCAGGTGGTGCTGCAGTTCGGGCTTATCGTATTGGTTCGCTCACGTCGAACGTCGAAATGCAGGGCTGTGAATTTGTTGACATAAAGTGATAGTCGAAATGGTTACAGTTTCGGCTCATTTTATATCTTTTGGTATATTTTGTTCGGCCTGATTTTGGTATAGTAGGATCGACATAGGGCTTGGTAGTAATAGGATAGAAATGGCGAGTTTCAGAGCCGTCAACTAGTGCTCATGCAGCTCCTATGGTGGACGACTCGAGCAACGACACCAGCCATCCCGAGGGGAATCCTCCGAGGACCGCACGGCGAAGAATCATGTCTAGTGATAATCATCACTGTATAGCGACACTGCCAGACAGACTACCTCCGATGAGGAGATATTCTAAGTAGAATTGGAGGCAACTTCGATGGTTGCTTAGAGGTATGGCGATTCAGGTTGAACAAATCTATCGCGTATAGACCGGGCCAAGCTGCTGTATATCACCCAATGTTGGAACGAAAATTGATACTAAAACCATTTCAAGGTAGAAGGCGTAGTTGCACTGTTTGCTGTGGTGGGTTGAGTTCATTGCTGGTAGTTCACCCGTCTGAACTTCCCCCGGATTTTGTGACGGACATGTGGGAGAGGAGTTTGAAAGAAGCCGTGCGGGCGAGTTATGGTCGTGATGGTGACGGCATCGAGGAGATGAGAGGCAACAGGAGTCTTGAAGAGCGATATCGCATTGTAGGGGTGACTCGGTGACTGTCCATATCTCGTTAGTGGTGGTGTTCAGAAGATACTTACTTTGTTTAGGTTGATACTATATGTCGTAATGGCCGTGAACTGGAGCTTTTCGATCTCCTCAGGAGTGAGCTCAAGAATGATATTTTTTCAATTGTCAAGTACGTTTCCTCTTTAACCTCTTTAGGCATGATGAGTGAAGATCAGGTCAATTTCGGAATGTAAAGTTGATGATTCTGCTACTAACGAGGCAGTGGAATGCCTAAAACAGGTTCAAGACGTTTGGAATCGACACAGAAAGGATCTTGTAAGCATCGAGACGAAGGTTTTCATAATAAAATATTGAGGAACCCTTTTGTTCGTTCTCGGTAGGGGCAACTCTAATTTGTATGAGGATCAGTTAAAGTATGTGCCAGCTAGAAACTCGTGAACTGGGCGAGCGGTTTTTCCATTTGTTTTGATGAGTTTGAACTTAATTCCTCTCCGGATGGGTTCACCAAACTTGGTTCTCCACGAATCGAAGTCGCGCACTGGAAAAAGTGTTTCTTGTTATTTTTACTCTCGAGTGTTGAGAATTCTCAGCGGGTTTTGGAGAATCTTCACCTTTTGTTAGTCGAACCAAATTTCAACTGAAGAAGTTGATTACGGAAATAGACACATCTAAAAGGTTGTTATTGATCTCGAAATTACATATCGGTAGTCGCCTCGAGCTTTCGCTGCTGCCTTGCCTTATCTTCGAGTGAATCGACACATCTCCTTCAGGGGCTCGTACGGAATATCTTTTTACCTCTGGACAACTTCTTGGCGGCGACGGGAGGCATGCTGGAGGGGGAGAAAGATTCGTCACGCACGCGGAAGAATTTGCCAGTTGGTTTGAGAGAAATGGGTTTGGGAATGCTGAAGAAATATATGGTGAGTAGAAAATGCAACGAGCAGGGATCGAACCTGCGCCTCGGCCACATGATCATTTCAGTGCTCCTGGGAAAAGAAGAATAACGAGAGATCTATCATATCTCGTGCGTGTGAGTGCCTTCTGACCTGCATACAGCATAGCAGATCTGTATGTGTCGGAGAGGATCCTTCCTGGGACCTGTACGGCGATGTTATCGTTATGATACGGTAAAGTTACCTTAGGTGAAGTATTGGGGTATGTGGTGTTCGTGTAGGTCGCTGGATATGTACAAGGATATGTTCGAGAGACCTTTTGAGGAGGCCACTAAGGAATATTATGAAGACGAGGTGAGCAGTACTGTCATCGACGAGCATGGTCGGGAGAGTGTAAAATGATGAATAACAGCTAGACCTGTAGGGAGCACTTGTAATTGTTATGTTCTCCTCTTCTTTAGTCGGCCTCGAAGATCGATACGTTATCAACTGAAGGGTAAGCTGGGCTATTGTATGGGCGAGAGTGTGAGGGGAAATGTACACATAGTCAACTAACTCGATCTGTTGGTGACAATATGAAAATTATGGGAGAAATTTCTGGGGAATTCGTATTGGCTTCTGTACACTTCTACCTTGGTTCATGCTTTAACTCCTATTCTTAGTGAGAAAAAATCTGAGATCAGCTGAGGAAACTCTAACACTGGATTCCACATGCATTAGATGGGCTTCTGAGCTGCTGTGTTACAAATTTGCCAGTTATGAATTTCGAATGCGTTATGGTAGGATCGAACCGGATACCTCACGGTGTGTAGATATCTGGACTATGTAGAGGGTGTATGGGAGAAGGAGAGGTCCCTGCATGATGCCTGTAAACTCCACTCTCACACTTGGCAGGACACTGATAGGATCCTTAGGGATCAGCTGGTAGGCTGCTTCGCTCCGCCTTTTTTCATTGCTGTTTTTTATTCAGTTGGTCATGCACAGTGCGTCTCTGACTAGTACTGAACGCCTCCTAGAGCTGCTTGATGCGAAACCTGAGCCCAAAACGGAGGCTGCTAAAACTCTATTGCGATTCTTAGAGGTCAGTGAGGAATACGACGTAGAAATGACGTTATGTTTGTCTCTTATTTTGACTTACGTTGCCGAGCCTGGAACCCGTAAGGGATTTGATCATCTTGTCGGTGTTAGATGGTCCATGTCACGTCGGAGGTGAAGTTGTCCTGGTCTCAAGCGATACGTACAATAGGTGAGGCTCTTATGAAAAAGTACTCATATCTGACCTCTTTTGTATCTTACGTGGTCAACCTAAAGATACCTTGCCTTCAACACACTAGCTGAGGGAGTTGGCCTCATTAAGGAGCTGCTCACTTTGAAGGAAAACTTGGACCTGATACTTGCTGACACTTTCGTCGACCCCGACTTGGCGGTGTCCTTCCGAATCGCTGTGAAGGAAGCTTTTGAGGTGAGCAATTTTGTGGCGCGTGACAAGTATGCGTGTTTATTTTAGACCTTCATGAATAGCTGCGACCAAGTGAACAAGTGTGCTCATCTGTTGGCGAAGTAGGGGATACCTATCACTATGTGATAGCTTTTTTCAACAGGTACTGTGATGACTCCATCGGCTCCTATGTACGTAATATGAAGAGTAGTTTAACAGGGGAGGAAGTGGAGGCTAGGATGGATTCGGTTATGACTCTTTTCCGGTAAAAATGTCGGAAAATATTTTTGCGCTGTTTTGGTATTAGTAATAGTCATCGTCCAGCTGAGGAGTCTCCGAGATTTAGGAAGATGATGATGACCAAGTATTGGTGTTGTTGAACAGGTTCATATCGGCGAAAGATATTTTCGAGGCGCACTACAAGAACGATCTGGCCAAGAGGTTGCTCTCTGCTCACACTATGAGGGGGCCTGACGAACCTCTAACTGGTAGAATACCTTTGCCATTGGTGGTACCAATGCCTTCGTCCAGAGAACTCTTCGTATCGAGGACATGAATTGGAGAAGTCTATGCTGCAGAAGCTGAGGACCGAATGTGGAGGTAAGCCAGAGTGACGTTCGATCGTTGTGGGGCTGGACGATGTGCACATGGTCAACTAGATATGTCGCTGACAATATGAGGAAATTTTGGGAAATTCTTACTGGCATACATAAACATCTATATTTAGTGAGGAAACTCCTTAACTCAGCTGAGGGGAGCGAACGTATATTTCTCACGGGGCTGTATAGGGGACTGATAGTCGCAGGGCTATACACATGTCACTCTCGTGGAGGTCTTTAGTACGACTTAGTCTAGTCTGCTGTAGGTGGGTTTACATCGAAGCTTGAGGGGATGTATCGTGATATGGATTTGAGCTGTGCGCTAAACAAGGAGTTCACTGAGAAGAGGAACCAACAACTGCAGGGTGATGATAGCCAATCACCGCAGTTCGAGGTGAGCTACTCTCCTATGGTCCTCGGCATTGCATAGTTCGTCTCAGGCTATGGTCCTGACATCGGGAATCTGGCCCACCTACACTCAGTGGCCCAAGGATGTAAGATAGGGACTGGACAGCAGTGTTGTTGGAGTATATGTTTGCTTCCCTCATTCGGAAGTTTCCTCGCTAATTCTATTTGAATTCGGGTAGAAGCGTTTGGAAACCAACTAGAATCTCCTCAGAATTTTCACATTGTCATGTAGTTGATTGTGTGCATATTTTCCACCCATACTGAGATCGAACGAGTTCAGTTCCGACCCTCCCCGCCCCGATAGCATCGCTGCAGCAGAGCTTCACTCAGTTCTACATCGGCAAACACTCGGGACGAACACTCACCTGGATGCCGTCACTCGTAAGCTTCGTCAGTCATTGGTGTTGATAGAGGTTTGTGAGTTGCCCATGGAGTGGTATGGGTATAATATCTCATGTGTCCGTACTGCTCGCCCGCTATATATTCGATTTATTACCAACAATGCGGGTACGAGGGCACATCCATTGGCATCACAAAATTGTCAGTGTTTTCTGGGTCAGCAGCCAGAGTGACGACACGAGACTCGATACGATATCGGACGGATGCAGTACATGATCCCATCTAGCTTTCTGTCACATGTGCTCTCCCAGTGTTCTCTATCCTTAGGGAGGAGCATTGGTCCGATATAACATGCGCAGTACAGCTCGACCCGTCGTGAAGGACCTTGTGGTATCAGCAGCCCAAGCAATAGTGCTTACATATGTATTCAATGATAGCAGCACTGCTACTGCTGCCAAGGTCTGTGAAGGTGAGTGCGAGGTCGCAGGTTCGATCCCTGGGGGTTGCAACTTGCGATTTGTTCATAGAGAATTAGCCATTTCAACAATTCTGCTCATACGGTGTTCTCATTCCGACAGTTACTGGCTTGCCTGTGGAAGAGCTCCGGCGGATCCTCTTCCCTATGGTCTACCGAGTCCGGGTAGGTTATTCGCAGTAGCATTGGAAGCATTGATAGTTGCATCAGATTCTTAACAGATCAACAGGAGGACCCGAGGATAAGCAAGTGGCTGCTTCTGAATCATATACTCTCAATAGGGAGTTACAGGAGAAGAAGAGGCGTATCATAGTACCACAGGTGATCTTGTTGATATACATCCGAGTTCGATTCCTGGTGAAGGCACATTTCTTGTGTTTAGATGGCCGTACGGGACGAAAAGGCGGAAGTGCGTGCCACTGATAGCAGGGTTAACGAAGATCGACAGTAAGCAGATCGTGTTCGACTCGCGACGGCAGTATTTTCGACGGAGTATTTACTATCAGATTCCTTCTGGACGCTGTATTAGTCCGGATCATGAAATCGAAGAAGACGTTGTCTCATAACTCCCTTGTGGCAGAGACTCTCAAGGAATGCAGTGCTACTTTCACTGCCGAGATTGGTGAAGTTAAAAAACGGTTAGTCCCGGAATCGAACTTGCACGGCTTTTTGATTGGCTTCCTTCTCAGCATCGAGTCCCTCATTGAGCGAGAGTACTTGGAAAGGGATTTGTCGAGTCCCAGCACGTATCATTACCTCGCGTAGTTTCATCTCTTGTTGACCGTTGTGATTTGAGTTGTCATTGTAGTGGGCCACCTTAAAGACTGAGATATGCATAACTACAACACAGCCGTACCATGCTAACAATATTAGCATGAAACGGCTGAAGGGTAACGTAAATCCACATGGCATCCGATTCCTACTCCATAACGAAATCGATGTTCTTATACGCGGGATTGATTTCTCGATTTCACCACTGCCAGAAGTTGTGTCTCTTTCCGTGAATGTGATTTTTCACTCATAAAATTTCGCCTTGATAGCAAAATAGATTTCTGAAAGGTACAGTAGTGTGGCGCTACTCGTACCGGGCTGCTAGTAACTACAGTTTAGCTATTCTTCCCTTATACTCATATAGTATTCGCTAGATGACAAAGGAGTTGGGAATGGCAAAGAATATACATATGGGATCACATGCTTACAATCCTCGGTAAATCATGTAATGCAACGTGAGATTATAAGCTGGAATACCTCGGGTTGTGGTAAAATCATTGCTGAGGTAAGGTACCATTATCAGCGGATTAGGTTCGCGTTTGGCATCGAGAAAGGAGGGTCTTAGGCTATTGTACATTAGCGAGATTCATTACACTGAGGCAAATCTTCAAGTGGGATAGTCAGCTCACCTCGAGAAACAGTTCTTGGTAAGATTTTGAACTTTTGTCCGTGTTCCACTCCCCTCATGCCTGCAATGATTGAAGGAACGCAACCAGAACAAACAATCATTGCTTTCTGCATCAATCGTGATTTGAGACTTTTCACTTGCTAAGGGATGGATATAATCACTACTGAGCCAGTTAGTTGATGAATGAGAGATATACAACAGTACTTACGAATGAATAGCAAGCGATTATCGCGTCCTGGCGGGCTCATCTACAACTAATCGCCGAGGACGAGTGCTTTCAGTGGCGAGCTCAACATCGCAGAGATCTAGGGCGGTGTTGGCGTAGTAAGAGCGGTAGCAGTCTGCACTGCAGAAGTAGACCCCGGAGAAGTAGCTGCCGTGGTTATGATAGGAGTCGTAGTTGTACTGTCCCCGTAATTATTGCAGACACTCGGGCCACAAGGCTGGTCACCGTCATAGCAGACCGGTACGTAGAGCCACCACTTGCAGTACGACACGCGATCACCGGAGAGGCCAGTGTTAGTAGCGGCACAGTAGGCGTCACAATTGGGGCTGGGGCCGGCATGAGAGTCAGGAGGACCTCCAGTGGGGGCAGGGGTGCCGGTAGGGCAATCTGATGGGCCACAGGACTGATCCCCACCGTAGCAGGAGGGCTCACTCTTCCACCACTTGCAGAAGGAAGATGGTCCATTGAGACCAACACAGTAGGAATTGCAAGGGACGGACTCGTAAGGGTGGGCCTCGAAAGGAAGTGTCGGCGTCGGGGCAGGAGGCCACGTCTGCGAGGTGCACACAGTTTGATCCCCACACGGCTGATCACCACCGAGACAAGTAGGGCGAGGGAGCCACCACTTGCAGTACGAAGCCTCATCGTTGAGACTCTGACACATAGTGTCACACGCTGGCTCATACGTTCCATCACCAGTGGGGACCGCATCAGTCGGTGTCACCGTTACAGGAGGGCCGCAGATAGCAATAGTGCCACAAGGCTGATCACCCCCTTGGCAAGTGGGTGGGCTCAAATCCAGTTTACAGTAAGAAGCACCTCCGTTAAGTCCCTGGCAGTAGACGTCGCAGGTGTTCTGCAAGGTAGCAGGGTTAACGGGACTTGCCGAGCCTGTAGTGGTTGGGATGGACGTGGTGGTGCTGGCTTGGAGATTACGTGGACTCCCTAACACCACTGCAGAAAGAGTACTGACGGTGAGTAGTTTGAACATGAGTAAGAAGGTCTGTTAGAAATCTGATATCAGCATTGACTTGTCAGCCACGACAGGCTTAGAAGGGCTACACACGCTCAGTTCAGCAGCTCTTGCAATGAATCAGCTGTGCGATTGATGACCGTATAAAAGCAGATGCTGGATGTGATGCGATGCGACCAGATCGAAACGGTTTGATGTTACTATCTTCCATCGTGCGCTGGGTCTTTCATTTTCCGCCTGTGAGAAGTGTTCGCCAGCCAGTGTCCGAGCACCGTCTGTTACTCTAACGATTACGGCGATTTGGGGTGGCATTATCGGCCCTCGCGCTTATATAGCAAGTTGTTAAATTTTTAAATGCGTCCAGTGTTGGAAGTTAGCAACGTCACGACGAGACTGGGAATGGATAAGCAGCTAATTCCGAAGTCATCATGTCGTCGATCTGACTTCCTTCAATCGGAATGCTCTGCCGTAGTGTACAAACGACAAGTTCAGGACGATTTTGTAACTTCGTGTGTGTTACGGGGTCGCGATAGGAACTACGGGACCCTCAGCAGGAGCGCTCATGGGCAGGCAAGTAGGTGAGGAGGGACAGCCACCCTTGCAGTATCAAGACTGTTAAACTCAATCTGGAGGAATGCCCAAATGACCAATACGTGTTGATGACGATGAGACAAGTCTGCAGTAATTTTGGTACTCGTGTTGGTCTCTGAGCATTTCTACCAGGAGTGGTGTGTGAAGTTCCATGATGCAGTGAGGAGACCTGCGGGCTCGCTGATGAAGTGTGACATATCTTGACACACTGGTCGGGGTCGGTTTTATAACGATGCGATAGAAGAGAAACCGATGAGTTCAATTTTGTTAGTTCAGCTTTGCCTGATAGAGTAACACAATAAAGCACGCACTTATCTGGTCTTCACTTTCTAATGGTAGCTGATCCAACGTAACATATGATACAATCACCTAGCCGAGAAGTTGAGGAAATCGTTTCCTGAAGTTGCCGAGATCAGTTCCCTCCATAACGCGAGTATAGCTTTTCTTCACAATGTTGTCAACACCTTGTTTCATATTGCGTATGTTCTGCGAAGTGTTTGCACGATCATATCGTCAGTACG